GTGCCTCTTCGATGCCCATCTTCCTCTTGAAGTACATTGGTACTGCCAGGAGCAGAGTGTCTCATTGTCATGAAAAGTCCTCAGTTATTAAAACATTAAATGTCCTATTCTGTAATCTTTGAAAGACATGAAGAATGTCTATCTAAAATATATCTCTATATATCTAGAAAATCTAACTAACATGACTACAAGCTTTATTTACTATTATCGATGATTATCCATTAACAACCTATATTTCTTAATTATACAGTACATATTTAAATGAACTACACAATCACAATACCTTAATCAAAATCAGAAACACTTATAACAAAATTGACCTTAAATCTCTATCAATAAAGCAAAATCTATACTAATGCAAATTATTCATATCTATATCATATCCCCCTTTAAATGTAAAAGAACATTTAGAAACATTATTTGGGAATATGGGCACAATTTTTTCTCTCCAGACTGCTTCCTGCTGAATGGGGGCGTCGTTAATTAGGTCTTTCATGGTATAACCTGTGTGCTAGTTTCATCTCAGTTGGCAGTTGAGCGAAGCAATTTTCTGAAGATGTTCACAACAACCCTTCAGGAGGGCATGGTCCATCATACCATATCAGAATAGAAGAAATGAACAGGGTGTCATCCTCTGTGAAAACAAAATAAGAAACTCCTTTCCAAAGCATCATGTCCTTAGATCCAAATTTCAAAGTCAAGGCATCAAAATATCTATGTTGGATTAGTTCAGCAGCATTTATAAATAAATATCTTTTAGCATCTGTTGCTCCTTCCTCAGCATTTAAATAATTTAAAGAGAGCATAATAGCATACAGTATCAAAATTCTCTGTGTATTTTCCATCTTTGTGCAGCATTGTTTTAACCTCTATTTTGTTTATTTTTAGTTTTAACTCTTTGCTTTTTGAGACAGGTTCTCTGTATCTCTGACCTGAAGTAACTCTGTAGACCAGGCTGTCTTTGAACTCTCAGAGATCCACCTGACTCTGCCTCAGAGGCATTCATAATTAAAGGTGTACACTACTACACCTTGAACTCACAGAGATCTGTTTGTCTCTGCCTTCTAGGCACTGGGATTAAAGGCATGTGCTACCACACCTTGAAGTCACAGAGGTCAATCTCCCTCTGCCTTCCAAGTGTTGGGATTAAAGATGTGTACTACCACACACAACAACTCTCTTCCTTTTTTTTGTTTTTTTTACTTTAAGAACTTCAACTTTTAGTCTGCATATATTTTTAACACACAGTAAACCATTTAGAAATTTTCTTTGTCTTTGAATCTCTCTTTACTGTATATCTCTCTTTTTCTGACCACTTGAGTCTTTAATTTACCAAGCAATATCAGTAGGACTAAAGCCGTGGCTTTGCCGGCTGGATCCAGCCCATTCCTTCGCTTTCCAGCCTCATGGCTGAGGTACCGGTTGTAGGCATGTTTACTGCCACTACTCTATGGCATTTCAAGGTCCCTGCCAGCAAGCGAGATTCAGCAGCCTGTGCTTGCAAACCGCACGAATCACCTGCGTAAAAGAGTCAGAGTTTGCCCTGGCAGGACAGCCCAGAAAGCTGGCATTTTTAAATGGCGCAGCTTTTTTCCTGCTACGGCTGAAAACCGAAAAGCATGCGTTCAGCTTTTCTTCAACACCGTTTAAGTGTTTTGTGGCAGGACCTCTTAATGAGCTGCAGGCTTTGCAGCTAAAGCTGAGTAAGGAAGCTTCTCTTAGAAGAAAGCGCATGCTTGCCTCTAGCAAGCAGAGCAGAACCGAGAAATTGCTGCTACCAAGAAACCAGGCACAATGCTTTCATTTTGTTCTAGAATTACTTCCCAAGCTGTCTCAGGCTTTATGTGGAAGCAGTTGTCCACATGGGCGCCATTTGTAGTAATAAGGGCGGCGGGGCTGCGTCCCCAGCATTCCGGCTGCCTGCTTGGCTAGCTTATGCCCCGAAAGAATTACATGGACACTGTATTCTTTTAAACACTGCTTGGCCCTTTAGCTCTAGCACTTACAGGCTAATTCTCACATCCCGATCAACCCATCTCTAATAATCTGTGAGAACCGGTCTTACCGGGAAGATTCTAGTCTAGTCCATCCTGGGTCGGAGCTTCATGGCGTGTGTCTGCCCAGGAGCGGGGCATGGCGTCTCTCTCAGGCGTCTGCTACCGAGAGGAGAGCTGTGGAGTCTGAGCTCACTTCCTCTTCCTCCCAGCGTTCTGTTCTGTTTATTCCTCCCACCTATCTTCTAACCAATAAAATGGGCCAAGGCAGCTCCTTTATTAGCCAATGACCTTCCTCCATCAGTCCGGAGTCAGCCCTGTGCTTTGAAGCAATCTGCGTCATAAACCATCTCTCTATCTTGAACTGACACTGTACCTTGAACCAACTGAGTATTTACTGACCACCCTGTTCCAGAACAGCTCTCTCTGCTGCATGTGTATCAGCTCTGTTTTCCCTTCCACAGCTCTGCTTTAACCCTTGCATCACTGTAAGCCTTTATGGGTGACACTGTATTGTATTCTCAATGCAGTCTGAGATTTGAGAGACATTGTTGGTCACTAGGATTGGAAGGAAATAATTTACATTTGCCAAAAACAATAAGCCTCAGAAGAAACAAAAGTGCTTGGGAAATTAAAGACAAGAAAGTTGATGCCATTTATGAATGCCTTGTTATTCAATAATCTGACATGTGGGTGACGTAATTGTATCTATGCATGTTTTTCACATGGTATCCCCACGACAGTGATTGATTAAGTGAGTTTATCCTCAGTACTGCTCTGCCATGAAGGAGCAGTGTCAGGTCAAATATCTGCAGTGGAACAAATCATTTCTACTCTATGAATGTGTTACTCTCATTGGTTAATAAAAACCTGAGAGGCTGGTAGTTGGGCAGGAAGTTATGTCAGAAAGTCAAACTCAGAATGATGGGAAGGAGGACAGAGTCAGGAGAGAAGCCAGTCAGCTGCCAAGCAAGCAGGATGTGTAAAAAATGAGGTAACAAGTCATAAGCCACATGGCAAAGCATAAATAGAAATATGGGTTAATTTAAGTGAAAAAGTTAGCTAGTAACAAGCCTGAGCTATCAACCAAGCATTTATAATTCATATTTATTTAACCTCTGAGTCAGTTATTTGGGAGTGGGCAGTGGGGACAGGATGAATCCATTTATGAATACCCATGCTGGATTAAAGTCTTAGGAGAGTAGTAGGTGTCTCCTGCCAGCCTGTGGTCACCAGTGCAGCCTGTTTCAACTTGGAGTTGCTGGCTGGCCTCACATGCACTGACCTGTGCTCTCAGGCCCAGGCCAGTGTTTCTCTATGTGCTCTTGTCTTCTGTATCATCTGTCACAGGTGTTCTTGTATAGAAACTTCGAATTCTTTAGTCAAGTCCTGCAGATGCCTTATGCTCTCGTGTACCTCTCTTTCTTTCCAACTTGGAGATTCCTTTTCCATATGGTAATTCTCATTCAGAATGGATTTCATTTCAGTATCAGTTGTGGGTTTCTCTAGTTTTCCTTGTTAATTTATTAGTGTTTAAATGCTTGATAAATGCCTTTATTGAAATCTTAATTATTATTGATTTAAAAATAGATTGCATCCTGTGAAAAGACATCTGAAATTCCTTTCTGTCTTTGAATGTAGTGATCAATTATTATATTACTAATAATTGCTATTCACAGTCTGGATTACTTATGACCCTCCTATGTTCTCACTTGAGGAATATTTGATCATGTTTATTGACATGCCTAAAAATTTATAATTGAAATTATGCATAACAGTTTTGAACAAGAGAGGTTTAACATTCTTCAATCAAAATTTAAGCAGAGCACACTGATGTGGCAGAGCCTTAGCTCAATTGTTTGGTTTGTTTGAAATACCAAAGCCTCAGCCTTCTGGATCTCAAGGCACGGGATTTAGAGGATGTCATTGTTCTGAAGCTCCACATTTGATTGGTGACAGACTGCTAATAAGTATCCTCAAGCATAACAGAGCATCTGACAGATGTGTTTAGCAGGTTTTGTTTTCCTTCCTTTTCTGGAGTAGGCCCTGTACTTGGGTGACTTTCATGGCTTATGGCAGGAAGGGGCTGGGTTTGTTTCATTGCTGCTGTCCCTCAACTCTGGCTGGTTTGGAGGTCATCAGAGCTCTTCACACAGCTGCTCCCACTCTGTCTACTTTAAGGATGCTCCTGGAGGAGGCTTGCCTGTGCCACTGGTCCCTCACAGGCAGGAGCACACCACTCAAGATGGCAGATATTAGAAAGGAAAACTGGCTGTGTTGAAGATGGTATTTTAAATTTTTTCACTAGCTTTAAGGACTTACCTTAAAGCAGACAATAAATTGTGAAATTGGATATTTAAATTTTATTTGTATTCTTTTTACTTGGAAGACTTAAGCTGCTTAGCTACTATTTTGGAGTCCCTAATCCCTGTCATTTTAAAACCTAAGTAATCCTAGATTTAAACATACCAATTACAGCAATGATGATGTCTTTGCCAGCAGTTCATCTTCTTCCCTGTCTGAAGATGCCTGATAACCAGAGATGTGATCTGAAGCTGGAAATAGTCAGAAATATCCTGTTCACTGTGCAAGCGCAACTTGTTATTATGTTATACCTCATAATGCAACACACACACAGGGCATGTGGTAGTGGTGGTCATGTATTCTGCCTCTGAACTTTATTAATAATAATATGCTTTTGAAGTAAGACAAATCTCCCCCCCATCTTTTCCTGCCTTCCTTTATTAATTGTGTATAGCATTTATACTCTACTTATTAGGTCTCATTTCTTTCTTAGGAATTTGGTGTCTAAGGGGAGTCTGTACTCAGTTATGTCTGCTTCTCATCGGGTCCTTAGAGAATCACAGTGACATGTACTGTTCATCAGGAAGGAATCTGTCTTTGACTGCACAGTTTCAAACAATCAAACAATCCCTAAGTGTGCTGTTTCGTGTGATGTTGTTGTTTGTATGGACCATCAACTTACTGTTGCCTTTCCTTCTACAGGAAGGAAGACATCTCAAGATGTCTTCCGATAATGACCCTGTTGCAATCCCAATGATAGAAAGAAATCCTAATGACCTTCCTGGAATAGACACCAGTGACCTGAAGACATTGACTGGAGAGGCTGTGTTAAGTTTTCATAACATCAGTTATCAAGAAACAGTGCATTGTGGCCTTCCATTTTGTAAAAAACCATGTGTGATAGAAAGACTATCAAATATCAAGTATGTGCATGAACTAGAAACCACAACATTGAACAACTTTCCAACAAATACAGACTTTCTCTGTTGTCAATAAGTTGTGTATGTGTGTGTTTGTGTGTGTACAAGTGTATATGTATGCATGTTCATGTGTGTAGATGTGTGAATGCTATGGCACACCTTGACACAAGGCAATAACAGGACACTGTTGAACATTGATCTTCACATTCTACCATGTAGCAGAGAGAGTCCTTCATTGCTCACTGCAGTGTAAGCCAGGCCAGCCACCTGCAAGTGGCCTGGGATTCTCCTGCCTCTGTCTCCCATATCTCCATAGAGCATGGAGTTACAGGTGTCACCACTGCACCCAACTTTATGTGAGTTCTGGGGGTTTAATTTAGGTCCTCACCCTTGCACAGCAAGCACTTCAACCAATGAACCCTCCCAGCCTCACATTGTTATATAGACAGACAGATACATGATCACAGATGGATAGATTCACAATCACAGTGAAATTAATGCAGTGGAGACTGAAGAACAACATAAAGGATGAATGGCACAAAAGCTGGTTCTTTGAAAACACAAACAAACTTGATACATCCCTTAGACATACTACCAAAACAACAGCAACAAAAGCCCTGAGAAATAATTTTAATTCAATAAAATAAGGGATGAAAATACAGTATCAAAGACATACTATTAAAGTCAAAGGAAACAGAGGAAATGTTGAGAATTATTTCCTAGAAATTAGAATGTATAACAGAATTGTGTACACATCTATGCACACATCCCTCCCAAAACCAAAGTGAGAATTTAGAACAAGCTGACTGGGTCAGTTACCAGTGATGAGATGGAAGCAATGAGGAAGTCCTAACAGCAGAAAGTCTGGGTCCTCAAATATTTTCTCAAAATTTATTAAGTGCTAAAAAGAGCTAAAGCCAACACTCCACACATTTTTTCCAAGACTTAGAGAAGCCATGTTTACAAACACATGCTAAGGAAGGAGCACACATACCAAGATTTCCTCGTGCAGTCTGCATAGACTCTTCCTCCCCACCCCAATCATAGCCTCTGTTCTTGGGTACTGGTTCTGCTCCTCCATCTAGAACTTCCATCATTTTCTTACTAAGAAGGAAATGGGAAGGACAAATGGTTGACACATTGTCTGAATATGAAATAAGAAATGTGAATGTAGCTATGTTTTCTATAAGAATATGCCTTTTTCATCTGAATATTCACTACTCTGAATCAGTCAGTTTCTTGGACATAGTGTGTATTTGTGCTGTACCTATACACCAGAAAATAATGTCCTCTACTTAAGGGATGTCTTCCAGTCCTAGACTGAGCATATTCTAATATCTTTATCAATGAGGAAAATCAAAATTTTGTAGGAGTGTATTTAGATTTTCTATTTTGAATAAAGTTGTTTTCTTTTAATTTATTTTGAGTGTTAAACTTGGCAACACTCTCCTGTCCTTTGGGTGCTTCTTTATGGTATTTTAAATTTAACTTGACTGTGGTTTTATCCTATTTTAATAATATAAACAATACTACTGATAACCCATGAATCACTGGTTACTTGTTACGAGGTCTAGAGGCAGCAAGCATGGCTATATGACTATACTGCTCATCAAAACATTAGCAAGAAGCTATTATTTGCTTGACACATAAAGACTGTATGTGTAATGGATTTCTCCTGAGAATCTGCTACTTGCTTTAAGGACACAGAACTTAGATGCAACATGTTTCAAAAAAGACTGATCTTTAAATAATAAACACCAGGGGTTTTGTGATATCTGAGGCATTTTTTTCTGATGAATCAGCATTAAAATTGAATATCTTTTTAAATAATAGACCTCAGGTGACAGTTGTTTGGCTGGGGCAGACTGTGAGGCCACTAGCAATGGGACCAGGATTTATCCTTATTTCTTGTACTTGTTTTTTGGAACCTATTCTCTTTGAAGGGATACCTTGGTCAACCTAGATATAGTGGAAAGTTTCTTCGTCCTGCCTCAAAGCAATGTGCTAGAATTTGTTGGCTCCTCATGGAAAGGCCTGCCCTCTCTGAGGAATGGATGGGGAGTGAGATGGGGAGGGAGAAGGTGGAGGGAGTGGGAGTAAGTGGGAACTGGGATAGATAAGTAAAATGAGAAAAGGGTTTTCTTTTAAAAAATAAATTAATCATTTAAAAAAATAAATAATAGTCCTATATTAATATTTTATTTTCCCTATGAGTTTGTGCTTATTTTCTGTATACAAATTCATGCAATGTCAATAGCATATTCAGAGTAGACCCTAAGGAAATATAACTTCTTTTAAGTCAAAAAATTAACGAGTATGATTTTGTGTTTACAGTGGGATCATGAAACCTGGCCTCAATGCTATTATGGGTCCTCAAGATGGGAGCAGAGCTTTGTGAGTATAACAGAGATCATATGCAAGCTCTTTGTATCCAGTTTCTGTGCTGTAAAAATCACTTCTATGGGACTTATTTAAATATTGTGTGGGTGTATCTATTCTGGTCCCAAGTACAGGTTACAATGTGCAGGAGGATGCTTCCTAATTTTCAACCAAGATAGAGCACTTTACTGATAGGAAATGATAGAGCGATTGGCATACGGTGTCAGGTCATATTATTATTTAATGTGGGGGAGATAGTATTAAAATTGGGAAGGTGAAGTAGAAGTTTTCTGGGGACAAGAAAATATCACCAAAGATAATTCTCAAACTACAGCAGCACATTACCAGTTTGAGTCCCCAAGGTCAGATCCCTGGGAGGGGAGGTCATGTGAATTACATTCGTAATTCTGGGCTGTATTAGAGCACACACTGATCAGAAAGGTGTGTGTGTGCGTGTGTGTCTGCGTGTGCGTGACTTCAGTTAAACTCATGCAGCATTTTTATTCTGAGTATCTGAGAGCTGATTGCTGTTACTGAAGGGAGGAAGTAAACCACACAACATATGTAACCCTTGTAGGTTATTAGATGTCTTAGCTGCAAGGAAAGATCCACGTGGATTATCGGGAGATATTTTGATAAATGGAAAACCTCGACCTGCTAATTTCACATGTGCTTCTGGTTATGTGCCACAGGTAAGTACTGCTGGGTTTGTAATTTTAGATTTCCTCTAATTCTGTGTGGTTAGATGCTCAACTTATAGATTTGTGTGTTTTCAGTTGGGTATATGACACATATATAGGTCTTACTTTCTCCATTGCTTAGAAGTTGTTTTCTGAAAATAATTGCTGGTAGCAGTCACCAAAACTTCTGTGCACTACTTGGAAAGAAAGTGGGAGGGGAATGAAAGTTACTGCATCAGCCTCTGTACCTGAAAAGAGTGAACCTGAAAGAATAATTTTAAGTAGAGCATTGGGTGTGCTTTATATGTGACCAGGTTATATATTTTAGAGTGATGGTCATGTTGGTAACTATTTGTAATTAAACTTCCACTTAACCTTAAGAATGACGTGGTGATGCGCACGGTGACAGTGAGAGACAACATAGAGTTCTCAGCTGCTCTTCGACTGCCAATGACTATGACAAGAGATGAAAAAAGAAGACGAGTTAATGAGGTCCTTGAACTTCTGTGTCTGGATAAAATGGCAAATGTCAAGGTAATGTGAAGAAAAATCTTGAAAGACAGAGGAGGGAAGAAAGAGGGAAAGGAAGAGAGAGCAAGAGAAGAGAGAGAGAGAAATAAGAGATTCATGTATGGATTATATATGACCCTCTGTCAACAGCTCCATATAATGTGTGTGGTCAATGTGGCTGCTCTCTGTATTAATGGGTAAGTGACTGGTTACATGCTGTAGAGTGGAAACTGAGATGTGAAGCCTTTTTTTTTTTTTTTACAATGGCTATACCTGAGAATTGAGCATGACCCAGTAGGGAAGAGTGTTCCTCACATGGCCATTTCCAAGTGTTCCTCATGTGAGCATCCTCTTCCCTCAGCCTTAAACTCCTGATTCATTAGAGAATTGAACAAATGTTTTCTTCTGTCTATTGTCTCTTCCCAAAGAGGACTTGTCCCTTGTTGTTTCAGAATGTGCTTCTGGACAGACACAGGACATGAGATGGAGAACTCTGGCTCTGTGTTTACTCTGTATTTATTCCCCTCCAGGGTTGTCCTTGGCCTCTTAGCATTTACTTCTAATGTTACTGCATACTGTTTTTTCTAGCCTGTCTTTTTGTATTTTTATATCATCCTGTCTGTTGTTGCTAGTTTTAACTGTCAACTAGACACAGTCTAGAATTACCTAAAATCTTCTAGAAGAGAGTCTCAATAAGGAATTATAGTCAGGTTGACTTGTGGACAATTTTGTTTGTCAGAAATCAGACAAGGCATCTGATTATCTTTCTTAAGCTAAGATACATGGAAAGACCTAATTCACTTAGGCAACACCATTCTTTGGGTTTCGGTCCTGGGTGTCGTGAGCATAGGTAAAGTGAGTTGAATGACAGGCATAAATGCATTCATCCTCTCTGTGCTCTGGACTGTATGTAGCCAGCTGTATCAGCTTTCTGCGCTGACTGCCCTGCAATGGTCAACTATCCGTTAGAACTGTGTGTCAAAATAAAACCACTTAGGCTACTTGTTCACCTTTTATCTTAGCAAATGGCCAGAAACTAGGGTACACTTTGCCCTTGCCCCTGATTCCTCATCTTCTACTTTTATTTATTCCCAGACCCTGTGTAAGGTTTGATAGATACAACCCTGGGCAAATGAACCAATAAATGAATCAAGTTATGCTTCCTGTTGAGACTTGTACAGGATTAGGAAGGGTAATGGATAAATGGTGAGCTTCACAACTGACTATTGTATAAGCTACTTTCTTACTGACATATTAGAAAGAATATTGAAAAGTGTTTCATCCCAGAATACTCTTTTTTAGCCATGAAAAATAAGGACATTTGCTTTTCTTAACAATTCCATTCTTAACTATCAAAATGAGCAAAATCTTGATAACGTCAGCCCTGACAGGTTACAACTATTCACATTCCCCAAATGTTCTTACAATAGCACTGCACTGATGAAATAACCTGATCAGGCATTTAATTTATTATATGCTTAGAGTTTTTCAACATTAAGGTTGTTTCCCTCTTCTTGTGTTCTCCACACCATCCTGACTCTCACAATGACATCAATGCATTTAGAAGATGTTGTAAGAGATGCTTGTTGTTCATTTCCTGGCCACCAAGATTCCTGAAATAATCACACAGAAACTATATTATTTAAATAACTGCTTAGCTCACTAGATTTGGTCTCTTATTGTCTAACTCTTAATATCTTAATTTAACCCATCTCCATTAATCTGTGCATCACCATGAAGTCATGGCCTATCAGCAAAGTTTCAAAGCGTCTGTTTCTAGCATCGGCTCCATTACTGCTCCCTGACTCTGCCTTCTTTCTACCAGCATTCAGTTAAGTTTTCCCTGCCTAGCTCTGTTCTGCTAAGCAACTGGCTGAAACAGATTAATTATTAATCAATCACAGAGGGGAATCCCACATCACCTCCCCTTTTCTCTTTAAATAAAAAGGAAGGGTTTTAAATTTAACACAGTCAAATTAAATATAACAAAAAAGGTTTCAAGTAAGAATTACAGTTACAATTTTTATATCTATTTAATCTTTTATCATAATTTAAGGAAACTATAACTATGTATTCTTCAACTGCATCAAAGACTCAAGAAGGATATAATATTACGTAAGTAAACAGGACATGCATTGTAAGCAACTTCCAAAACTCTAAAATTGACAGAGACATCTCACTGCCTGCACAGTCACCCAAAGTTCTTCTGTGTCATTGGGGCATCCATCTTCAGCCAACAGGCCCATAGTATCCAGCAGACTTTTCCATCAAGCAGGAAATTTTAAAGACAGTTCCACCTATACTGGCACTTTGTCAGTTACTTTCTTCTTTGTCCTGCAGAATGTCAGGCAGACTTTTTCATGAAGCAGGAACCCCAGAGGATCATCTCACCTTTAGGCAAGTTCAGCAGTCATTTTTCTGTGTGTCCTGAATATCCAGTTCATACAGCATAGCATCAAGCAGTCCAGGCAAGCACAGTTTCTTGCTCAAGTGGCTAATAAACTTCATGAGGTGTTTCTATGTGTTTCCTTGTGATGACCCTGACTTTCCTGGATCATATAATCCTTCCTCCTTCTCCTCAACAGGATTGGCCCAGTGCTTCACTGTGGATCTCTATGTCTCTTTCTATCAGTTAGTGAATGTACGTGCTCCAATGATAGTTGGGGTAGTCACCAATCTGATTATAGGAGATGGGCAGTTCAGGATACTTATCCACTATTGCTAGGAATCTTAGCTGGGGTTGTCCTTATAGATTTATGGGAGTTTTCCTTATATCAGGTTTCTACCTGATCCCAAAATGCTCCCAAATGTGTGTATGTGTACATGCACACACATGGAGGTCATAGGGCACCTTTTTCATCAGGCTGTTCTCTCCTCCCACCTTGTATTTCAGGCAGCATCTGTCTTGTTCTGCTGATGCCCTACACACATTCTGCTCCTGATTCAACTCTCAGCTCACTATAATTACATCTTGATGGAATTGCAGTTGCATTCTACTGCATATAGCTTCATTTGTGAGTTCCAGAGATTAAACCCAGTCTTTAGGTTTGTAGGGCAAATGCTTTTCGATGATAAGACTTCTCTTCAACCTTTCACAAGATTTTGATTTAAGACATGTAGAAGCAACATTTGGTTACTGTGTTAGATTGACTGAATAGCCAGAATAATCGTACACTTGATAATACCAGCCCACTGGGCTTCTTAGTGTTTACAACAGCATACCCATAAAACTATTTTCTCACCACAGCATTTTTAACAGAACATTAGGTAGTTCCTTACTCCCAAGTACTTACTCTTCATCCATAAAAATAAGGGCATCTGCTTACCTAGAAACTCTATACTTACCTATCAAAATGAATAGTTCCTTTATTCTCAGTCTTGTCATGACCACATTCATGCACATTTCCCAAACATCCTTTGTTGTTTGTTGCCACTAGAGCTTGATCATGGTTTTGGTTATCATATTTGGAGAGCATTGTTCCCTAGTTCTCTGTCCCCCTAAACCTTGCTATTTCCTCTACCTTACACAATGATGTTGACTAGTACCAAGACTGTGTCAGTTTGACCTGTAGACTATGCCACATTTGAATTTGCCTACAAGAATAAGTCATGAATTCTGTGATGTTGTACAGTGTAAATAATGTCAATTTGCAAAGTTGTAAGGGATTAAAAGTACCTAATAAGGCAATGTGGAATTTTTAATAAAAAGCAATATGTGTCAGTGTGTTGTATTCTCTGTGTGTTGTGTAGAGTGTGTGCAATGTTGTGTTGTGTCAATTGTCTATGTATTGTGTGTGTTGGGATGGCGTAAAATGACTACTAAATTACTAGAGATACTTCATCTTTTCCTGTCCCATCTTCCTCATTCCTTAGACAGAGATTTCACTGAACCAGACTTGTAGTGTGATGACTCATTACCCTAGAATATGTGACTTGATAAAGAACAAATAGCAACTGTCATTACCACGAGCTTCATGTCAAGTCTGACCTGAGTCTCTTTCTACTCACTTGGAAAAGAAAAACTCCCTTCTTCTCCCAGGTGCACATATTTTTGCTTGTCAGAATAGTGATAGAACAAAATCTTTTATTGCTGGAATAGGCTCGTTCATCAAATGACAGTGACTGTGGGTGTTCTTTCGGATAATGGTGGTTGTTGGTGCTTTAGCCTAGGTCTAAAGAGCTTGAGAAAAGGACCAGTATAGCAATGGAGCTGGTCACTGAGCATTCCATTTTGTTCTTGGATGACCCCACCACTGACTTAGACTTGAGCACTGCTACTGATATCATCTCGGTCCTGAGAAGGTAAGTCCTGAAGGAACATTAACTTTTATTTTTTAATACCTGATTATATGTGTGTATTTTTGGTGCAGGAGATTAAGAAGTAAGCAAAAGAACCCCTTCTTTATTAGATGGAAAACTCCACTAACAAGGAATACACATCAAGAACAATGAGAAAGGAGCATAGGGAATGATGGCTGTGGTGAAGGTGCAGCACTGCTTTAAATAGCATGTCCCCATAGCATGTCCCCATAGCATGTCCCTATAGCATGTCCCCATAGCATGTCCCCATAGCATGTCCCCATAGCATGTCCCCATAGCATGTCCCCATAGCATGTCCCTATAGCATGTCCCCATAGCACTCAAGCCAGTGTCAAGAGAGCTGAGTGGGTGAGATCCGAACAGAGTGCAGGCTGGAGGGAAAATGCATATGTTCTGTGACATGGCATATTTGATGTGTCTGGAACATTAAAGAGATCAAGTTGACTATAACCCTGAGGGGATGGCAATTTGGTAGTGCACGGTCAAAAACACCATAGAATGAGTGACTTGATAGAAGTTAAATTCCTTACAGTTCTGGATCCTGGAAGCCAAATATTTAGGTCTTCACAGGCCATGTTTGATGAGACTTGGGTTACGGAGTTGTGGATGGTATCTTCTTTCTCTTTACGTGTCTATGCCCTGATCTCTTAAATGGACACCTGTTACATTAGGCTTCCCTAGTAATTTCATCAATACTTAATTACCTTTTTAAAGACTCTGTCTCCAATTACATATCTACATTTTAAGTTCTTAAATGTGAAGTCTTCAAAAAATGGGTTTTTTGGAGGTTACAGTTCTGCTCTATACATTCACAGTTGAAGTGAGGTTGCATTGAGTATAGATTGCCTAGACCATCTGGGCAAATGTAACGACTAAGGTTTTCCGTGGCAGGGGATGGATGTGAGAAGGCTTCTGAGTTTAGAGCAGAGCAATGCATCATGAAGAAGGTTGTGCAGTTGCTCTGTGGGGATGTTAAATGACAGCAGAATGCTTAGTTGTATTGGTTCTTTAGCTAGCAACTGGTGTGTTCTGTGTAGCTTTGAATATAGAGTAAGTAGGATTATCTTTGGGATTAGCCCTGGATGTGATGACTGAGGGAATGATTCCTAAGGTCTAGGTCCTGAACAAGGGGAAGAATGTAGTAAAAAAAAATATTTTCTTTTCTCACAAAATAAGTCTGTGGATGAAATACTTATAGAAAATTTGTACAGGTTAGGCTTTGCACATTTTAGAAATCAATAGTTTCAAACTGACTGAATAATTCCAAGAACTGTGTAAGAACTATCATATTCCCATGATGTAAGCTCCTGCCTGTTGAACTTACAGCCTTTTCTGTCTTTCCTTCCTTCCCCTTGTTCTTTGTTTTGTTCTGACATCATGGTTCGTCACCATAAATACTGTTGCCTGTCCCTCAAGAAATGAAGATCACTCCACCATTGTACCTTCCCAGTGATGAAGTCAACAGCTGGGGCCTTGCCGTTATCTAGCCTGTAGACTACTCAGATGTCACCAACTTCCCTGTCTGTTACTTTTCCTGTCTACTTCAGGATACACTGTAAGATCAGGTTTCTGCTCATTTTCCAGTATAGAATGCTACCCTCCTTCCCTGCGTCTCATGCCATGGGTAGTTAGTGCATTGCATGGGGTCATTCCCAGTGTTGTTTCTCCCGTGCCTGGGAGCAGACGTCTTCAATACTCCTGGGAGTGGCATCCTACTGGTAGAATTATTTTTAAAAACATTTTTATTATGTGTGTGTTTGAGTGTGTGTAAATGTGTACCTGTATAGCATGCCTGTAGAGGTCAGAGGAAAACTCAAGGAGTTGGATTTCTCCTTCCACCAAGTAAGTGAGTTCTGGGGACTGAACTAGGGTCTTTAGACTTTGCATCAAGTTCCTTTACCCAATGAGTAATCTTGCTTTCTTGTATTGAATATTGATCATTTAGTCAGGCTGGTGGTTGTTGGGTAATATGATATGAAATTGCACTTTTCATTTTGTGGCTTATTAAATAGTCTCTCAGGGAAAGTAATTGGTTATTGTGCCCATTATTCTGCCATTGTCTTGTCTCTACAAACCCGTTGTCCTGGTGGAACTCAAGATGTGCATTCACCATGCTCTTTTCCTTTCCCTCCCTCCATCTTTTTCTCCCTCCCTCCCTTCCATTTTCCTTCTATTCCTTCTTCTCTCCCTTCCTTTCTTATGTTCTTCCCTCCTTTAGTATTTCTGACCTTCACTACCTACTCCCTCTTTTCCTATTCCTCTATTTCTTACGTCCTTTCTGTTTGTCTTTTTGAAACAGGGTCTCACATAGCATAGATGGGCCTTGAAGTACAGATCCTCCCAAGTGCTGGAATGTTACAGATATGCCACTATACCCATATTTTATGAAGATATTTTTATAGCAGTTTTAAACACTGTTTTTGGTTATTAGTGCTCATACAGATTTTCTGAAATGGTAGTTCAACTCATTATTTTCCCAACATGGAATTAAACCAATGATCAAGTCTCAGGCTTGACCCTCTCTAGCTGACCATTTGGTTTATTGCTTGACTTTTTGAGCCTTATCAACAGAAATGGGGAAATTATATTAGATTTGCCTTATGCTTAAATTGAAAGTTGAATGAGGTTATTGCTGAAGTGTTTAGGGAGAGCAAGTTGTTAGGAATATGAGTCACATCATCAGAACAGTGAAAACTAATTCCTGAAGGGGAGAAAGTGTGAACGATTGAGGGGAATTGTGCTTACAGTCATAGCTGTAATGTTTGCTTTGTCATTGCTTTTCAAGCTTGAGTGAACCTGTCAATCACCTGGGCTTCCTGTTCATAATATGGATTCCCTGCACAGACTCCCAGATATTTTGATTCAGTGTCTGAGAAGACCACCCAGGGATCTATGTAATAACACTTGAGTGCACTACTGGTGTCTCACATGTTCAAAGTCTTAATTTTTTAAATAAAGGCTTGGATCTTGGTTTCTCTATCAGGTGCATAACACAAGTGAGACAAGGTGTTTTTTTTATTTTTTTTTATTTTTTTTTTATTTTTTTTATTGAGAAAAGGGAAAAAAAAAGTTTCCCCCTCCTCCCAGCCTCACATTTCCCTCCCCCTCCTCCCACCCTTCTTCCCCTCCCTCCACTCTTCTCCCTCTCCCTCTCCAGTCCAGAGAGCAGTCAGGGTTCCCTGCCCTGTGGAAAGTCCAAGCTCCTCCCCACTCCGTCCATGTCTAGGAAGGTGGACATCCAAACTGGCTAGGCTCCCACAAAGCCAGAACATGAAGTAGGATCAAAACCCCGTGCCATTGTCCTTGGCTTCTCATCAGCCCTCATTGTTCGCCATGTTCAGAGAGTCTGGTTTTATCCCATGCTTTTTCAGTCATAGGCCAGCTGGCCTTGGTGAGCTCCCAATAGATCAGCCACACTGTCTCAGTGGGTGGGTGCACCCCTCATAGTCCTGACTTCCTTGCTCATTTTCTCCCTCCTTCCGCTCCTCATTGGCGATGTCCCCAGTTAGTTCCTTGGGCAGATGAGGATAGGGAACCTGAAACGACCCTATCCTATAGCAATACTGACAAATATCTTGCATATCACCATAGAACCTTCATCTGGTGATGGATGGAGATAGAGGCAGAGACCCACACTGGAGCACTGGACTGAGCTCCCAAGGTCCCAATGAGACAAGGTGTTTTTAAGGAGAATTCAAGCTGAAATGGAAACCTAGATTATAACTTCAGGAATAAAATATTTTCTCGAGAATCTCAAGGTTCCCTCTGTCCAGTGACTTATTATTTTTTTCCTCTTTAAACTTAGGATGTCTAGGAGGGGACGGACAATCATCTTCTCCATTAATCAGCCCCCATACTCCATCTTCAGACTGTTTGACAGCCTCACCTTAGTGGCCTCAGGAAAAGTCATGTTTCATGGACCTTCACAGGAGTCTTTGGAGTACTTCACATCCGCAGGTATGGCGGACTTTGCTGTGGAAGTCCCTTTCATTCACGGGAACTGGGAAGAGAACAGGGGTTCTCAGGAATGCTGCTTGAAACTCATGCATTCCTGCATGTGGGATTCTCTATTTTAAATACCTTTGGTTAATTTGATTACAGGATTCTGTTAGTTGTGCAACACAGAATTTTTACTGTTCAGGTCTCTTCCTTTCTCCTGTCCTGTATGCATGCCTGTGTTATAGGATTTTTTCTGAGTCTCCTGCTTTGCTTCCCAGTTGTGGTGACCCTCTTCACTAACATGCTGGGCTCAGGGCTATTTATCCATCATTTCAACAGTATTGGAAAGATCCAGCATCATTGAGTTCTTGCTCACACAGCAGTCGGTGATTTTCAGTTTTCCCCTCATGTGACATGACTTTGAGGAGCTATGGAAACCTTACTTTACTTAGTAGCTTTGCATTTCAGGTTTAGGTGATGATTGAGGGCTGTAGTGGCTTATGTCTGGCTTCTGCAAACTCATGTGTTTGGTCTGCCTGTTTGTTTTGTTTTTTTGCAGTCAGATTGAATGATGACATATTTTTTAATGGTTCTTGCCTTCAGCTTCATCTTAGCAAAATATTAATATAGTTATGGTTGATTCTCTTTGACTGCAAATATAGGTTCAAATATTTGGTGCCCAGTATTCTTTATTTGTTTTTTATAAACCTTTGTCATTTAATAATGTTCAAACATTTATGGGTCTATGGAGTCCAACAAAATTTAGGACAAATTGAAATGATCATATCACAAGAAGAGTTTATATATGAGTGTGTGAGTGTGTGTATGCATACATACATACATATATATGTATATATGTGGTATATGTCTATATCTATGCCTCTGTATAGTCTAAGTCTATGTTCATACTTATGTCCATGACTACATATATGCCCATGTCCATATCTATGTTTAGGTTCATGTCCATGTGTATGTCTATGTCCATGTACATGCTTGTGTGTAGTCTATATCTATGTCCATGTCTATACATATATATATGTATATGTATATATGTATATGCCTGTGCCTATGGATATGTCTACTCTGTCTATGTCTGTGTATTGTTTATGGGTATGTGTATATATAGCATCAACATAAACCCATACATGTATACAATAGATTGTGAAGCAGAGATTGCTGAAATATTATAAGTTTATATTTAATAGAAAAGAATAAGTTGGTAGGGGATGTGCAAAGAGAGAAAGAATTTCTTAGATTCTGTCTTCTCTCCCCGTCCCACTCTCTGAAAGAGGGTCCTCACATTTGTATTCATGGTCTACTTTCTTCATAGGTTACAACTATGATTCCCACAACAACCCTGCAGACTTCTTCCTGGATATCATTAATGGAGGTTTCTCTGCTCTATTAGACACAGAGAAAGATGGCCATGATGGTATGTGAGCCTTCTAGAGTCACAGATTTTCGTCTAGTTGATTTTGTTAAAACACAACTATGTGTCTCAATAGAATATAGCTTTTATGTTAATTCAGTATTTAATATTAACTAATAGACTTTACTGTATGCTAGTCCTGTGTGTTCTTTAATTTAATTTATAAAAGAACATTTTTATGATATTGTTACAAGGGAAATTTCTTTTAAAAGTACCTATTGATTGTCATGTTGTTTTTTCTGTTGTTTTTGATAGGGTTTTCTTATGTAGCCAGACTAGACTTGAATGTGTGCTCTTTCTACATCACTTCCCAAGTATAAATATTACACGGTTATGTCACCATGCCTGGTTTTGTTTATAACATTTAAAAACAAGATATTTGGCAGTTTATAGATTTACATATGCATTCATGTAGATGGACTTTTCTGTCCTGCTTGGTCCTACAGCTGTTCAGTCCCAACAAAACTCACAGAGGCTTATATTAATAATAAACTGGTTGGACTATTAGCTCAGGCTTATTATTAACTAGCTCCTCCAACTTTAATTAATCCATAATAATTATCTATGTTTAGCCTCATGGCTTGGTACCTTACTAAGTAAGGCAATCTCACTTCACTTTCTCTGTATCTTGCTTGTGAATGCAGACTGAGCCATTCCTCTTCCCAGAATTCTCTTAATCTGATTTCCCCACCTATACTTAAAACTAATACAAATGACAAATCTTTATAGTGTACAAGAGGATATCCCACAACACTTCTCCTTTTAGTCTTTTCAAAATAAGAAATCTGAATCTGATCTCCTTTGTTTAGCTTTTTTTCCTGACCATTATCCATAACAACTTGTAACCAACATTCTAAACAATGACAAACATCCGTAATCTATTTGGGGGGAATGTGGGCATAGTTTTCTAGGCTACATCCTGCTGAATGGGAGCATTGATGATATTATGGGGACTCAGAGAAAACTTAGGATTATGGTCAAGTCCTGACTGGAGTATTCTGTGAGACTGGATCATATCAGTCAACAATCTTGAGGCTGTTGTGGGCGTAGAACTCAGAGGAAACTGCAACAGAGGTTCTCTGAAACATTGGATCATCTGGGCCATCTGTTACAATTGAAGATTTTTCAGGAGATCTTCCTTGATCAAACCTTAATTTTCTTAACCCAGAATGAATCCACTGCCTCTCATTTCATGTGGAAACAAAAGCAAAACGTCTTTTCCAAAGTAACATATCTTTTCATTTAAAATTTGAAGTCAAGGTGTTTTCAAAATTTATAGGTTGGATTAATTCAGCAGCATTTATAATCAAATGTCTTTTAGCAGCTGTTGCTCCTTCATCAGCAGTGAAACAATTCAAAGACAACATAATAATATACAGTACCCAGATTCTCTGTGTATTTTCCATCTTTATATGGCTTTAGCTTTTTCTAATCTATTTCTTTTATTTTTAGTTTTAGTTTTTGCTTTTTCAGAAAGTTTTTTTTTCTGTGTATCTTTGACTTTCCTGGAACTCACTCTGTAGACCAGGATCCCCTTGAACTCAGAGATCCACCTGCCTCTTCTTTCTGAGTGCTAAGATTAAAGGCATGTGCTACCACACCCAACTACTCTATTTTTTTTCTTTTTAAATGATTTTTTTCTATCCCTTTTCTTTTTCTCCTGAGCCTACATATATTTTTAAAGACACTGTAAATTATTTAGAGTTTTTTTTATCTGAATCTGTCTTTACTTGTAGATCTCTCTTTTTTTGACCACATGAGTCTTTAATTTCCTAAGTGATATGTCTAGGATTAAGGCAGTGGCTTTGGTGACTGGAACTGGCCCACTCTTACTTCCTGAGAGTCTAGATTCATGGCAGAAGTACTGGAAGGAGCCACATTTTTACCACAACTCTGTAGAGTTTCTGGGTCCAGGCTACTACCAAGAAACATGTCAGCTAGTGCTCATAAACACCATTAAAGTGTTTGGTGGCAGGGCTGTAAGGTTTTTGTTGCTAACACTGAGTAAGGAAGTCCCTCTTAAAAGAGATACACTTTGCTTCTAGCAAAAGAGCCCATCCAAGAAAATGCTGCTACCAAGAAGCCATGCTTAACTCTTTTATTTTGTGTTTATAAATTCTTCCCAAGCTCTCTCAGATTTTATGTGAATGTAATTGCCCAATGTTGGTGCCATTTGCAGATGGAATTTTCTGTCTTGTCCAGTCCCACAGCTGTTGAGTCCCAACAAAACACACAGAGGATTATATTCATTAAAAAAAGTTTGGCCTCTTGGCTCAGGCTTATTAAGTATTTCTTACATCTTATATTAACCCATAATTCTTATCTCTGTTTAGCCACATAACTTGGTACCTTTCTCAGTGAGGCATTCTTATCTTGCTTCTTCTGCATCTGACTGGTGACTGCAGACTGGGCCTTTCCTCTTTCTATCATTCTCCTACTCTGTTTGCCCTGTCTATGCTTCCTGCCTGGCTACTGGCCAATCAGCATTTTATTAAACCACTACAAGTGACAAATCTTTACAGTGTACAAGAGCATTTCCCACAGCACATTCACATGTGGCAGAAGCAGGGACCAGACTCTTTTTAAATATTAACTATACATCCATAAAGTAAGGAAGACTATGTTAAGAATTAGGGTATAGATTGGGAAAAGGCCATACAGTTTGCTGTATTCATGGAATAATGACAGTAGTCAGGACAGTTAGGGACACTTTTTTAATCTATGACGGAATTACTCAGGAGTAACTTTTTCTCAAAGTTTAGTGGAGCTCAGCTGGTAGAGTGCTTGCCTAGCATGCACAAAGCCGTGAGTTTGGTTCCTAGCAGCACATAACTGGGTGTGAAGGTGCATGCCTGTAATCTCAGCACTTGAGACAGAAACAGAAGGACTTGGAGGAGTTTAAACTCACTCTTGGCTTCAGAGCAACTTCGAGGCCAGTTTAGGGTAAATGGCACTCTTGTCTAAGAAAAACTGATACATAATTTTTGTCTTATTCCTGTGTATTATCCCAGAAAAATCAGTTAAATTATTGTCTAATGTTTCTTGCCTTTATCCACTTTTATCCCAAAGCTGATGAACATATAGATCTTTCTGAGAGACAGCACCAAGTCAGAGAAAACTTAGCCAATATGTATGCCCAGTCCTCCATCTACAGTGAAATGAGAACTGAACTGGACTCACTCTTGGGGGAACAGAAGGCAGGGAGGAGCTCAGCCTTGGAGGAGATCACGTGTGTCACCCCTTTCTACCATCAGCTCAGATGGATTATTTGTCGTTCATTCACGAATTTCAAGGGTTTTCCATGGATCACTGTAATTCGGGTAATCTGATTAATTATTTTAATTGTGAAACTCAAGTGTGAACAATTTCTGAGTCATTCTACTCAAGTCCACACTTATCTTCTGCTCCCTTCCATGTGTTTGTCATCTCCACTCTCCATGACATAGAGAAATATTCAATACAGCAAGTAGAACACAATTAAATTTTTACTTATGGAAAGCCATATAGTGATTATCTTTTATTAGAGAAACAATAATGACTAACCCAAATAGAAAATTAAATTCTCAGAATGCAAAAAGAATTTCAGCACACCTGGGAGCTTCTCACACCTGTCTACTTTAATTCACCAGTTCATCTTACAAGTTCAAAGTCCAAGAATGAGAAAAGGAGGAAAAGGCTTTTTTCCTGATGCAACTTTTCATGTGGGTGGATGGATGGTAACTCGATAAATTGATAAAACTGTAGCCTGTCAGATGAGAGAATGGACTTGGAGAAGGTTTAAGTAGAGAAGGATGGAGATGACTGGAGAGGGAAAGGACAGTTGATCTGTGGTTGAAATCATGTGGTGAGGAGACAAGGCCATAGAACAGCTCTGAGGGAGCCTGAGCATCAACTGCCTGAGATGAGCCTGCTGCAGAGTGCTGTTTCCTCATCAGGAGTCCAGTGTGTGAAAGCAGTAGCTACTCAAAGAGTGCAGCTCACACACACAGTAACTGGACTGAACAATGCTCTTCCCTGTCAGCCACTGGAACTGGGAGGAGGTGAAGTTCTACTTTTCTTCATACTGATTGTGTAACCAGGATCATCATGCCTTAAGGTTTTCTTTTGTCACACAGAAATGTGGTTCTTCCAGCTCATTGGGCCATCATTTATTATATTATTTTTTATTTCATGACATTGATGATTCTGCTGTGTTAGTGTTTGATCTTGGGGCTGTAGCCCTTAGAGGGCAATCACTCTACCATGGACCTAGATTCCCTGCCTCCGTTCAATCAGAACTTAAAGTTAGTTCTGCTGTTAGTGTGTTGCTATTTTATTCTCAGGCATTTAGTTTCTGTTGCATACTGAAAGGTCATGTGTTGTTTTTTGTAAACAAACACCACTTTCTTCTTAATATCTGTGCTACCCATTTCATATTTAAATGTTGTTTCCTTCCCTGCTTGTGTGTCTGTGAATATTCTTACCATTTGAGTTATACTGCCAGTTGCTCTGAATACTTTGGCTTTTGTACTTGGGCATTTGTATCATAAAAGAAGCATTTTTTAAGTCCACTTTTTGAGATCAAAAGATTTGATATGATTTGAAAATAGGTGATTTACATTCACCACTTTGAGTTATCCACTGTTTAGTGGTGAGGCAATATCATAAGGTAAGAAGTGTGTGTGTGTGTGTGTGTGTGTGTGTGTGTGTGTGTGTGATAGCAATGCTAGGAATTGAAGACTATGTTTTTAAATTTTTATTTTGCCTGCATGTATATATGTGCACCATGTGCATGCCCATGGTGGCCAGAAGAAGGCCTCTGGAACTGGAGCTACACATGGTTGTTAGAAGCCATTAGGGTGCTGGAAACTGAGTATCAGGTTTTCTGCAAGAGCAGCAAGTACTCTTAACTACTGAACCATATTTCCAAGCCCTGGGAGTTTTATTTATAATCTATCAAGTTACATGCTATTATGCTATTCCTTAACTCATAATATCCTATTTTTAAAACAATATCAGAGACATAATAGAATATTTCAAATAAGTTGCAGAATCATGTAGCCTTACACATTTGCTAATTGAGGCACCTTTTAAAGTGATTTTAACCCAAAATCAAAGAAGTGCAGGCTCCCTGTTACAGTCTGTCCACATTGAGTAGATGGAGGTCAATGAGGGTCTGGAGGAGCTGACAGCTTAAATGAGACTTAGCCCAGGCTGCTCTGGCTGATGCTGGTGGAGCTGCTGTGACAGAGATGATGGGCAAGGGAGCATCAATGGACCCAGAGGACACTGTATGATCACTTTGGTGATAGCAATAGTGCTGGTTCCCACACAGGCACAGACTTCCAAGAAGTGACACAGGTGAGGACCAGCTCACCCTTCTTAGCACACAAAATCCCATTGCTAGGAACTGTGTTGTGAGTCATTTTAAATTTTGTTATTGGGTTCGCACATGAGGGGATTAGCATTCATTGTATGTTCTCCACTGAGCTGCCCCCCTGGCCTGGGGTGCATCTGTTTCTAACTATAAGAGTAAATAAACCTTGAATTCCCTTGAGTGACTTGAAGTAGAAAACTGCGCATGTTTGCTGGCACCAGAGTTGAGATCTCAGTTTAGGTGAAGACTTTTTGTCACTTACCTGGGTTTGTTCCCTAAGCTCCCCAGGTGCCTGCATTCTCCCACCCTGTGTCATCCAGGTTTTAGTTCCTGAACTGAGTCCTTTACTGTCCATCCCTGGTGGAGCACTGGGAGAAGTTTTAGCTTTTCCAGGGTCTGCATGTTGGACCCTCAGATTGCAGAGATTTTCAGTTTTAATTTAACACACAACCAGTCTAGTGACACGTATGTTTTATATTCTTACAGGCACTGTGGCCAAAATATAGTGTTTATCTCACTAGAGAGATCTGATTAGGAAACTATATATATTAAAATAATGGACAAAGTGTAGGATACTGTTTTCTCCTAATGCAATTTTTTTTTCTTTTTTCCTCTATTTTTTTGAAAGGCAATTATCTCAATCTTAGTGGCTGTGTTTATTGGTACCTTGATCTCTGTTGTAAGAAACGATTGTGCTGAAGTCTATACCAGGTAAGTAAACTTGGATCCTGATTCTGAGAAAATGCTGTTACTTTGTTCAAACTTATAGAAATCCATTAAGAATTGGAATTCATGATGAGAGCAGAGTAAATGTTTTATTATATGGTAGAGTGTGCATTGAAGGCTGAGTGTAGAGAGCAGAAAACTACATACACCACACATTTCACATTTTACCCATTTTAGTGTGTGGAGTAGATTCATGTTATGCAACTATCTCCACATTTGAAATATAGGTCGTTTTTCATCTTCCCTAAAGGAATCCCATAGCTCTGAAGGAAGACTGCCCATACTACCCATTTCTGATTCCTGGCGTCATTCTATTTTCTGTCTTTGAAATTACTCCTGTGGGAACCCTGATTGGAGTCACACAAATACCTGTGTTATGTTGTTATTTTGGTTTTTTACTTCTTTATTTTGGCTGATTTGTCTCCATTTGGCGATGTCCTCAGGGATCAAAGTGGTGTGTGTGTGTGTGTGTGTGTGTGTGTGTGTGCGCGCGCGCGCGCGCAGATTTCTTGGGCTCTGGAAGGCAAAATAATAATCTATTGTGTGAAAATGCTGAGTTGTTTCCTATTCATCTGTCACTGCAAATGTGATTTGCTCTCACCTTTGGCTACTATGAACCATGCTTCTGAGTGTGCAAGTGCATCTGTTTGAGCCCTGGACTTTTGTTATTTAAGGTAGAAAGATAGAGCTGCCAAATCATAGGCCATTGGGTTAATTGTTTTAGGAACTTCTGTCCTGTTTCCAACTTGACTGTACTATTTTATATCCTCACCAGCACAACACAAGGGCTCCAATATGTCCACATCCTCACCCTTTCTTGGTTTGAATATCTTATTCAGAGATATCAAAGAAAAAAATAAACCACAATTTATTGGATATTCTATAAAGAGCCTGTTGAACCCAGTTTCCCATTTTAAGTTTGAATGTTTCCTTTTCATTCCACAAATATTTATTTCTTTACTTAGTATGTGTACATATGAGGTCATACATGTGCTACTGCATGCATGTGGAGGTCAGAGGAAAATTGAGAAGAGCAGATCCCTCCAGCACATGGGTTTCAGGCTTTGTACTCAAGGGCATTACGCTTGAAAGCAGTCACCTTACGTGCTGAACCATCTCACTGGCCTTTAATTTTTCTTTGCTATTAAGTTATAGTTATTTTGGTTTCTGACATGTGAATCCCCCACCAGATACATACATGATCTACAGATATTTCCTTCCTTCTGTGTGTTGCCTTTTTATTCTGTTTATAATGCCTTGGTACATAAATGTTTTTAGCTTACCCTATTTATCCTTTTGTTTTGCTGGTGCCAATTTTTTTGAATATATTAGATTTATTTGAATGTGAGTGTGGATGATAGAATGGGACTGTTTTTCCTGACTTGTCTTCCAGATTGTCACCCTTTTGGTTCTTGTCTAGTTTGAGCTGCAGTATTAAAACTTTTCAATGACTACAGCATGTTCCAAACATAGCTTCTCATCAGGATCACAATTTTCAGAAATTTTACTGTAATTTATGTGTGGCATACCACCTTTTGTTCAACCGGGCTCCTTGCTTGACACCCACAGCCTCAGGATACTGCCCTATGGCCAGAGAGTTTTGACCATGGAAGTTCTGTTGACTTGATTTTTGTGTGAATGTGTGTGTGTGTGTGTGTGTGTATGTATGTATGTATGTGTATATATGTATGTGTGTTAGTGTGTGTAAGTGTGTTATGTGTTATATGTCCAGGTTTCTGTGGGGTACACTCATGATTAGGTGGGTGTCACATATGCTGTTGAGTTGTAAATGTTTATACATGGAGGCCAGAGGTTATGCTGGGTTTTCCTTGATGACCCTCCATTTTCTTTTTCAAGGCAGGTGCCTCACTGAACCTCGAACTCACTGGCTTGGCTAGGCTGGCTGGCGGATGAGCTCTAAGCATCAGCCTCTGTACCCTTCATCTCTGGAGTTACAGATGAGAAGTGCTGTGCCAGGGGACTTTTCCATGTGTTCTAGCCATCTGAAATCAGGTCCTTTTGGCGAAATGGCAGACACTTTGCTGAATGGGCCACCTTTCAGCTCCACAAGTCTGTTTTGATATATGGAAAGCACTAACTAGTTTTGAAAGATAGAATAAACATAAAAATCAGTTCTGTGGATTCCTTCTGTGTGGATGAGACAATAGTCTTCAGTGAGATGATCATTACAGCTATCCAGACTGTCTGCTATTCATCTTCCCTGAAGGCCAGGATCTAAAAGCTTTCCTGGCATAGCCATATCTGGTGGGAATGGCAAAGGTCATAATGCCAGCAGAGCTGCTTGACAAAGATGCAACAAAGCTGAGCCACATGAGTGCCACTGCTCCTCTTCTGTTTGTGATCTCTATGTGCTGTATGCTTGGGTGGTGTGCAAAGTCCTTCTCTATACGTGTTGCTTTTATTGGCTAATGAACAAATAATCTGTCTTGGCCTGTGATAGGTAGATTATTTTTGGGCAGTCTGGCTGTTAATAGTTAATCATATACTGCTCAGGAAATGGCAAACTTCTTGGACTGGCTAACATCCTTGAAGCCACAAAATCTGGCAACCTGAGAATGGGCTGCCATGTGCCTCTAGATTCTTAAAATTTGGGTTATGGGGTTGATGAGTAAAAATTACTATAAAAGATAACTCTGTTTATAAATGATGACTAAACTCATGACCCCAGATATGCAAGAGAAAAAGATAAACCCATGTCTGTAAACAAAAATGATATGATCTGAGTTTTGGAACAACATGTATCTATTTCTATTTACCTAATTCTCTCTGAATAAAGAATCATTATTTTGACTAGTTAGTCAGGCTGTGAGATTCTCACCACCACTGTGGGCTAACTCACTGCTTCCCTGGCCTACTTCCTGCCTCCTCTCTAGAACTTGTCAACAGCAGCTACACCTGATTCTATTGATGCCTCAGCTGCTTTTTGTACCTCAGCAGCCTCTGCCACCACATTGCCACTGAGGTTTCAGCCCGGGGGGCCTTTGTGTCCCGCCCCCACCTCTACCTCAGCAGCCTCCATGTATGGAGACAGATATGGTTTTAACTAAAATTCTCTCTTTTTATTTTACCAATAAAGACTCTGGTACCAGATGCTGGGGTGAAAACCTGCTAGCTCAGAGACAAAGAAAGCATCTGGCTGACCTTTTTCCTTTGCTGTTGTCTCAAAAGGAGTTCTCTTCTCTGCAGTCTGAAACAATCCTTCTCCACTGCATGTCACTTCCTTCTACTTCCTCTCTCTCTCTCTCTCTCTCTCTCTCTCTCTCTCTCTCTTTCTGACCTCCTCACTTCTCCTCACTCTATAGTCACTTCCAGTCAGCTGCTTGCTTGCGCTGCCTCTTGATCTATGGCTGATTTTATTTAAATAATGTAATCTCCAGATTCACTGTGTGATCAAATAGCCCTCAACAGGGTCTGGCAGCAGAACTTTCCAAACCAAGTGGTACTTGATTTGTGCCCTGTGTGGACAGCACAGCATGACCACAGGATACAGAGTGTAGACACTGTCACAGGAAGCATTTAAACATGAACTCCAAAAACCCTGATGCAGATATAAAGAAGAGTTCTATTAGCTGATTCTTCATATTGTGAAATGCTCTTTGTATTTTTAATTCCCTTTGCTAAGAGGTTTTTTTTTTTTTTTTTTTGATAAGATGTTGGACTGGGTGACAATGGCCCTTTGTGTGTGGTTTATTCCAGTTTCCAATCTTCCTTATTAGTGGTTGATCCTTTTGGACAGTGTCCTGGTTAGGTTTGTTTTTGTCTACTTCACATCAGCCAGAGTCATGTGGGAAGAAGAAACCTTGATTAAGAAAATGCATCTAGGATCACTAATTATAGGCTCAATGTCCTTTGTTTATGGCTAGAAAACAAATATGAGTGAGTACATCCCATGTTCCTCTTTTTGGGTCTGGATTACCTCACTCAGGATAGTGTTTTCAATTTCATCCAGTTGCATGCAAAATTCAAGAAGTCCTTGTTTTTTACTGCTGACTAGTACTCTAATATGTATATATTCCATACTTTCTTCACCCATTCTTCCATTGATGGGCATCTAGGTTGTTTCCAGGTTCTGGCTATTACAAACAATGCTGCTGTGAACATAGTTGAACAAATGCTCTTGTCATATGATAGGGCAACTCTTGGGTATATTCCCAAGAGTGGTATTGCTGGGTCCAGGGGTAGGTTGATCCCGAATTTCCTGAGAAACCGCCACACTGCTTTCCAAAGTGGTTGCACAAGTTTGCATTCCCACCAGCAATGGATGAGTGTACCCCTTTCTCCACAACCTCTCCAGCAAAAGTTATCAATGGTGTTTTTTATTTTAGCCATTCTGACAGGTGTAAGATGGTATCTTAAAGTTGTCTTGATTTGCATTTCCCTGATCGCTAAGGAAGTTGAGCATGACCTTAAGTGTCTTTTGGTCATTTGAACTTCTTCTGTTGAGAATTCTCTGTTCAGATCAATGCCCCATTTTATAATTGGGCTGATTAGCCTTTTACGGTCTAGTTTCTTGAGTTCTTTATATATTTTGGAGAATAGACCTTTGTCAGCATTGGTGATTTTTATCTTAGCCATTCTTACTGGTGTAAGATGGTATAATCTCAGAGTTGTTTTGATTTGCACTTCCCTGATGGCTAAGGATATTGAACATTTCCTTAAGTGTCCTTTGACCATTTGATATTCTTCTGTTGAGAATTCTCTGTTTAGTTCTGTACCCAATATCACCATAGAACTTTCATCCAGCAACTGATGGAAACAAAGACAGAGACCCATAGCAGAGCACTCTGCTGAGCTCCAAAAGTGTAGTTGAAAATTGAAGGGAGTGAAGAACATGAGCAAAGAGGTCAAGAGCATGATGGGGACACCTACTGAAGCAGTTTACTTGAGCTAATGGGAGCTCACCAATTTCAGCCATTCAGGGAAGGAACCAGCATAGGTCTAAACTAGTCATTCTGAGTTTAATTGACAGGTGCATGGCGGGGGCAAACTGAGAGGCCACTGGCAGTGGTACCAGAATTTATTCCTACTCCTCCTACTGGCTTTATGGGAACCTATTCTCTTTGGATGGATACCTTTTTCAGCCTAGATATAGTTGGGAGGGCCTTGGACCTCCCCCAAAACAACATGCCTTATCTTCTCTGAGGAGTGGATGAGGGGGTAGGTGGAGAGAATGGGAGAAGGGGAGAGATTGGGAACTAGGATTGATATGTAAAATTAAAAAAGATTGTTTCCTTTTTAAAAAATAAAATTAATTAAAAATACTAATGAGCTTTAGGTGATAAAAAAGTTACTTTCAGGGTCAATGTTAGTATTATTTTTAACATCAATGACGTTCTGAAGTCCAGATGATACTTCTCTTGTTTTGATCGAGCATTGCCTTTTCACTTTGTTCAACTTGTGTAACTAGGAACTGGGGTGAATTTTGTGGCATAGGAGTTCCTTTGGCTCAACAGCATTATAGGGTTGAGGAGGCAAATAGTAAGGAAACAGCATTACAAGAAGTAATTAGACCTAAAAATTTGTTCTGTGCAGACTTACAAAATAACTGAAATAATTTTCCCAAAATGCATGAGAAGTCTGGTATTCATTGGACCCCAATGCACAGTAATTGAGTTACGGAACTTAAAGGTCTATCAGCACAAAGCTGGTACAAAAAATGTGACTTGCAATGCGGCTTATTTTCAAAATAAGATTTTATGACAACCTGGATAGAACTGAAGATTTGAGGAACATCATGCAAAGTAAAATAATCTAAACACAAAAAGACAAATGTGTTTCACTTCCATGTGGATTATAAAGCAATTGCCCTCCTGGAAACAGGGAATAAAGTGATGATGGGCAGAGACAATGTGGAGAGAAGACACGCGTATGGGCAAGGAGCACAGTATTAGTTACAGAAAAGAATAGGATGCTTTTCCTTTGAGATAAATTGTACAGCACATTCAATTCAGAAAATATAATACACATTTCAAGGTTTCTGAGAATATATTCAGAATTTATATAGTATAAAATTATGTATATTTATATTTATATAATATAATTATATTTATATTGATGAACATCACTTAATGTAATTTGATATAATTATTTTCCAAAACTGCTCATGAATCATATTCATTTTATATCTTCAACTTGTGGTATAGGTTGTCAATCTATAATTATAAAATCTAAAACAATCAGATAAGTATTTAGATGTGACATATATGGTTAAGTGAAGCCAGGGTCAATAATTCCCTTTTTAAGTTCTTGGTTTTGTTGATAAACATATATGAGAGTAAACCCAGATGGGAACTTGAGGACAATTTATTGAAGGCAGAAAGAGGGAGAATTTCCTGAATACCAAGGAACAGGTGTGTATAAGCGTGTAAGAGCGGCGAGAAAGAGAGTTGTGCATCTAGTAGAGCAGAGCCTTGAAAGCAAGACTGGCTCATTAGGAGGGGAGGAGAAACCCAGGTCCTCTGCTCTATTGCTGGGCACAAGGTGCTCAGCTCCTCCACACTATGGTTGGTCTCGTGGTTCTCTGGTCCTCTGTCCTTGTTTGGTCCTTTGAGGCAGGGACACAGCTCTGACCTAAGAGGTCTAGAACTTGTCATGCAGCCCAGGCAGGCCTGAGTCTGTAGTGATTCTCGAGCCTCTGTCTTCCAAGTTCTAGGAGTTTGGAGGTTAAGCTTCCTGATCTTCTCAGAATCTTTCCTGTTCTCAAGTTATCTTTTTCATTTTTAATATTTTTCTCTAATGGGGACTTTGATAGATTATAAAGTGAAATTTTTCTTTAATGTAGGAGAAAACTTGTCTCCTCTAAATTCCTCCCCCTCATCTATTCTGGATACCCACCCAGCCCTGTGTACCTAGATAAAGAGAGTCACTGACTTCTGTCAGTTGAAAAGGTGTCATATAGCAGGCTGCTAGGACCCAGCCATGCCATCTGTCTCAGGAAACAGAGAAATGCAGAGGGCCTTTTATTCCCCCTCCTCCTACTTACTATCCCCTATCAAATGAACACAATTGTTTCTTCATAAATAAGCATGACCGACTTCATTTTTGAGCTCTTTGAAAGTCATGCATGAAATTGTTTGGTTATTTTAGCAATAATCATCAAGATGGCTTTAAAGATGGTTCTACAGTCAATATCTGTAGTAAGCTGTTGTGTAGGGATTTCCAACTGTTTTATGTTTTAATATTTAATCTTCTATAAATTAATACAGCCAATGAAATATAAAAACTTTTTGGATTTTTGTTTATCTTGATTTTTTTTTATACATTAGGATTGATGTTCACCAACTTTGTTAGTTAAATTATAGTGATGCATTGGGCTGCCATGACTAAATACCACAGAATCAGTGAATTTAAATCAAATGTATCTCCACACTGCAGTGTGAGAGCCTGAGGTGAGAATTCTCTCCCAGGCTCTTCCTGTCTGGCCTCCTTCTCTCTGCCATTTCATGGTAAACACTTCAGTGCTGTCTTTTTCCATGATGAGGACACAGATGGAATCATGGGGTTCCTCTCTCATGATTCCATCTAAAACCAAATAACTCCTAACTTATATACCCTAGGATGATTATATTCGGGGTCATTATCACATTGTTGGATTTTAGAGGAAACAGATACTGCAGTGGAGGCAGAGAGGAAAATAACGCAAGGGACTGATATTTCTTGACCTTTATAACCAGAACAGTTCTACATTTTCCTTCTTTTTTTTAAAAAAAATAGTTATTTTATTCTTATGTACATGAATGTTTGTCTGTATGGATGTATATGCACAATGTGTGTTTCCTGAGATCTGTGGAGATCAGAAGAGGCATCATATCCATGGGGACAGGAGTGGCAGATGCTTGAGATCCACCATGTGGGTACTGGCAACTAAACCTGGGTCCTTTGTAAGAACAGCAAGCACCCATTATTGCTGAGCCATCTCTCCAATACCGCTTCTTTGTTGTCATTTTCATTTTCTTTTTTAAAAGAAAAATCTATATGATTTTATTTAATGTACAGAACAAGCTCTGTTGTAAAGAAACCATTCCAATGTTGAGTTTTCTGTTTGATTTTTCCTCCATTTTCTTTCTGCAGATCTGTATTCCTCTTCTTGCTTACAAGTGTTGAATGTATCACAGGCATGTCTGCAGGGGAGCTCTTCGTGATTGACAGGGATCGCTTTGTGTGAGTAGCCCCTAATCCAGAAGCAGGCATCAGGTGATGGTGATCATGTTGATTATATTCATAGTTGGGCCTAGGATGTTATTGCATGAAATACCAATATTTTTCCTTTTTTTCTTATTTGTTTAGTTGAAAAGTAAATGAATATTGAAAGTTTGTGTTCATCATTGTGGCCCTATGCATTTTGACATATGTAAAGAGATCATTAATATTAATGAAAAACTGGTTGGGAAATCAAGAACAGAGGTGTCTTATGCTTAGTAAAAGTTTCAAAATTTTGGGTGTGGTCACCAGATCCCAGTGCTGCAGATAGAGTTATAGGGGACTGAGAATCACTGGAGGATCCTGAACCCCCAGGAAGGATATCAGGGGTTTCATAGAGCTTAAGTGTAGTGAGTTCAGCAGCACATTGGAGCTAGAGAGACACAGCTGCACAAGAATCAGGGTCCTCTTGATGCAGGGCTGGATAGAGCCAGACAGAAGCTGCATAAAAATGAACTGTTTATCTCCCATCTTTTTCAAACATGGAAGAACCCTTTCCTGGTGGCCTGTACTTGGGATTTCCTGCTCTCAAAGATGAACAAGATTTGCCCCTAAGTACATGCCAAGGAGGGGCGTCATCAGAGAGGAGCTGAGGGCCTCTCTTGAAGCATGATTAATAAAAGCTCGGAGACTAAAAATGGGGTTCAACCAAAAGACCAAAAAGTAAGCCACCCTGCCTCTGGCTCTTACCTTGACCTCAGTTTGAAAGGGTGATCCAGACTCCAGGAATCTCAAAATGAGACTGTTTGTTGAGTGCTATTTCCTCCCATTTTATCATCTTCTCTAGGGCTGGGATTAAAAATGTGCACCACCATGATTAAAGGCATCAACCACCTGGTTTCTAAGGTAACCAGTGTGGCAACTAGGATTAAAGGTGTGTGTTACCACTGCCTGGTGTAAGGCTGACCAGTGGGGCTGTATTACTCTCAGATCTTCAGGCAAGCTTCATTTATAAAATACAATTGAAATGCCACCACATTTTTCCTTTTTGCCTAAAATAAATAGAAAGCTATAACTAATACAAAAAACAACATACAATAAGTATAATGATTATATAAAATATACACAGGTAATAAATATATCAACAATATCTAGTTCATTTGCATTTGACAAATTCCGAGAAAATATTTCATATCTATCCTATCTTGGTGAGTTCAAAGTCTTGTACCTAATTTATTTTCTATCATAACTTGCTTTCTGCGTCTGATAAACTCTAACTAACTAATCTTCAAGTATCTCAGAGATGTAAGAAGGAAATGATATTAACTGAATAAGCAGGAAGTACAAGCAGGTAACTTCTAAAAGGAAATGTGAGTAATGACAGAAACAGCTGACTTCCTGGACAGTCACCTAAAGATCCTCTGCAGTGATAGGACATCTCCATCTTTGGCCCGCAGGCCTAGCATATCCAACAGATCTTTCTGTGAAGCAGGACATTCTGAAGGGCTGTCCCTCTTGGTCTTGACAATGCTTGGCAGTTACTTTCTTTCCTATCCTGCTTGTTCAATTAAAACAGCATGCTGTTAGCAGTTGAGGCAAGGACATTTTCTTGCCCAGTGTCTTACTTTTGGCCACAAAGAAAGCAAACTCCATGTGGAGTTTCTTCTATGCCCATTATCTTCTCTGAAGTAGAAGGTTACTGCTTCCAGGAGCAGATATATCTCACTATCATGAAAAAGAAGAACTTAGATTATTAAAACGTTTGAATTGCAATATCCTGTAGATCTCTGAAGTGCTTGAAGATGACCTGTCTATCTAAAATATCTTTTTTTACCTTGAAAAAATACCTTATGTGACTACAAGTTCGATTATACTAGGTGATTAACTACTAACCTGTATTTTCTTATTATCCTAAACAGTTGGTGATAATAATTTTCAAGGAATACAAATTTGTATAACATTATTAAATGAGTTGTATATATTTTATGTATGTAAAGTATGTTTTAACAAAATTAATCTCAAATTTGTATCAAAATGTAAAATTTGTATACAATATACAAATGTTCAATCCAATGTAAAATGTTTAAAACTAATAATTGCTTTTTAAAAGTAGATTCAATAATCTACTCTTTTAGCCTATCATATCTATCCCGTTGAATAACCAAAAACCACCCACCCCATCTCTTGGGAATGGGATGACTATTCTTAAATTAACTTCCTGCTGTCTGGGGTGATGATACCTTTAGGGGATCCTGAAAGAAAAATTTGGGTTAACTGTCAAGTCCTGGGAGAGGTAGCTGTATCATTCAGTGTATACATAATGGAAAAGGGCAGAGTTTATCTCAAGTTCTGACTAGAGTAGTCTATGAAGCTAGATCATCTCAACTAACCATCATGAAATTGTTCTGAGCAGTTTGTAGTTCAAAGCTTATCTTTAAGTAATGTAATCAGCTGAATGACATCATATGAATCAGGTGGAATGATTGTTGTGGGGTCCCAAACATACTTTTTTTTTTACCTGAGATAGGGTTCCAATTCCTAACAACTGAACATTTTTTTTCTGTATAGCCCAATTCAGATGCCATGATTCTAGAGTAACAATACTTACATCTGCACCTCTGTCTAATAATTTTTCATTATAATGGTATTTATTTATACCCTCAGCTTTGGTGTTTGATCACTTATAGAAATCTGCCAAAATATACATTTTCTATATTTTACTGGAATTTTAATTTATCCTCATGGTTATTCTATCATTTAGAGGAGTACGGTTTTATATTATGGGTACTGCATTTTCTAATTTTCCTGGGTAGGCGTGTCCTCCAAAATGACTGGGAATTACTGGATCACGTTCAACCTAGAGGACTGCGAGAGACTTCTCAAGGAGTTTCCCTGATTGCAATGGGTTGCTTTGTTTGTCTCTTTTTTCATTACCTTGTTAGTTAAGTGTCAGTCTTTGCCAAATCTTATGCATATCCCAGAAGGTTGTGGCCTTCTATTTGGGTGATTCTCATAAGAAACATTATTTCTATGAATGCCCTGACTACAATCCCTTCTCAGATGGCCTAGTCTACCACAATGAAAGCATTTAGTATTTTAATGTCTCTTCATACCTTTGAAAATTGCTTCTCCTAACCAAGCCTCAGTGTTAAGGCTGTGTGTAGAAGCCATTCATCCACTGGTGCTTACCTGACCTTTAATGGCTCATGTATCTTTTTGCATTCAAAGTTAGCATTTTCAAAAGCCAGATATTCAATGAGTACTCATCTAACTTCTGGATCCGCTACCCCTATTTGTACAACTTTAGTATATTGGCAAAAAGTCACTAAATGGTACTCTTGGACCTTGCATAACCTTAGTATATGATTCAATTTTTTCCTAGTTCTTGAATATTGTCCCAAGCATTAAAGACTGTGGTTCATTGTATATAACTTCACTATTCAGCTCAGCATAAGGGTCATCACCAAGAATTGATATTAAAAAGCATCAAAACCGCTGACTCTGCCTTCATGTTCAAGATCCTTAGCCTCTTCTCTCCAAAAGATCTTTCACTCAAGCTGTGGACCATGATCTACTAGTACAGCTAAGACTAGTTGAAGGTTGATCATGTGGAGTAACCTAATTGCTTGAAACCCATGTCTTTACCAACTCCCTCACATATGGGGAATGCATACCATAAGATACTACCTGTTGCTTAATATCTTTTAGATCTTTCATACATAAAGTTTCCATTTATAGTGTGTATATCATTTTGAATATTGAGTATTTGCTGGATTTTCAGAGGTAATAACAGGATAAGTAATTGAAACTTTTGGTGAGTCATGTCTGACTCTGAGAGGTATTGACAATACTAAATATCTACTATTGTCTTTTGTATGTACCTCCTCTTCTTGTTTATCAATCATGATAAGGTCCTCAATCAATTCAAATCTTTTTATTTTAAGGTCTAAATCTCTTGACCTGTTAACATTTTTAATGATTTCTTCAAATAAATTAATTTTTGGTTCTCATTTTGTACATGTGATTTCAAGTTTTAAAATTTTCCATTAATGATATCTTCTCATCCTTAGAGATTATTTGAATGACACTTAGATTGCCTTCCAAGAGTGATGTTCTATCTGCTAGGTGTCATAACTTTTAACATATTTTGATTGTTAATTTCAACAGTATGAATCCTTTCAGATAATCTTTCAGTACCATTTTGTAAAGTTTCATAACCCATTGACATGGATTGAATTTTGCCTGTCAAACCATGTTTATCATTTTTAATGATATTTAACCTTTCAGCCAACTTCTCATTATTACTCTGTATAGTTGTATCATTTCTAAAAGTTTCTCATTCTTGACTCTGTTAACAATCCATTTCTTTAAAGATATAATATGAATTATCTAATTGATGACAACTATGGCTAAGAAGGTCTAAGTCCCAGGTAGGTCATATACCTCCCTAGAAATCCAGTCATAATAGAAACACAAAGGTTATTAAATTTTTGGGTGGTGAGAATATCTGCCATTATTTTAGGAGTGGTTTACAAATTGAATATATATATATATGTATATATATATACATATATATATATATATTTAGCAGATAACTTACCTCTGTTATAATCCTGGTTCAGCTGAAACTTTTAAGGTGTAATAATGGTGTGGGCCAAGAAAGCCTATGGATTTTCTAAGCAGAGGTCAAAACCATAACTGAACAGAATTTTGGTAAACAGATGCTGATCAGGATAGTTGTGCAGCAGTTGTATACAAACTGTAGAAGTCAGGGGAAACTGCAGTAGCTATGTGAGAACCACATAGATGTGCCACTGGGGGAAACTGCAAAACTGCAGGAGTCATAGGAAGCTATGTGGGGCTGAGGGAAATCATGTGAGTTCCCCCGGGGTGTCAGCAAGGATGGGCCCAGCAGGAGAGGTATAGAGCTGGGGTAGATGGGAATTGGGAACACTAGAGCTTCTCCTGAACCCAGATATCTAGGTTTGGGTTCCAGTTTCTAGAGCTGGCTTTGGCTAGTGGCTAAGAAGCCTCAGACAAATGGCTGGTTTTGGTAAATTTGTGTCCCATGGTGGGTGCTTAATGAAGCATGATTAATAAAAGCTCAGATACTGAAATTGGGCATCAACCTGAAGACCCAAAAGTAAAGCAGCCAGCCAATGGTTCTTATGTTGATCTCATTCCAAAATGGCAATCCAACCTCCAGGAATCTCAGAATGAGACTGTGTGTTGAGAACTATTTCCTCTTGTTTTATAATCCTCTCTAGGGCTGCGATTAAATGCATGCACCATTGTGATTAAAGGCATGCACCACCTTGTTTCTGTGGCAACCAGTGTGGCCACTGGGATTAAAGGTGTGTGTTACCACTACATGGTGTGAGACTGACCAGTGGTATTGTTTTACTCTCAGATCTTCTGGGTAGCTTTATTTATTAAAATACAATTCAAATGCCACTACACTAACTCAGTTGGTAAATTGCTGGCTACATATGCATAAAACCCTGTGTTGGATTCACAAAACCCTGAGCATGGCTGTATTTCTGTAGTCTCCGCACTTTTGGCCAGGATAGAACCAAGAGGATGGTCATTGTTGGCTACATATGGATTTGGGGCCAACCTGCACTAGTGGTCTGTTCTCAAAAAAATTTAGAGCTACAAGAATACAATGGGAGTGGAAGACCTTGGAATTTGGAATGACTTATAGAAAGATGTCAGGAAGAAAGAATTAGATTTGGTACTGGTAGGATTCATGGTTGGAAAGTGAGATTATTGAAGGATGAATTCTATCCTAATGTGAGAGTAGCAGAAAAGAAACACGTGGTGTCCTAAATCAGCACCTCAGAGTGATAGTGTCACTTTGTCCATCAGAACTGGAAGGAAAGAAACCTCCATGACCACTGTCTGAGGTGAGGTATGAATGAACTGCTGCTCAAGAAGCCAGCTTCAGAGGGGCAGAGACTCTGAAGAGAGTGGGCACATTGGGATATTTCCCTGGAGGAGCTGTTGTGTGCCCAGAGTGGACTAAAGAGGGGAGAATTCTCTGATGGGGAGAATCATAGTGAGAAGGTCATAAGGATGATGGCCTAGAAATGTTGGTCCTTAAGATGGGGACATGTGTAGGAGTCAACCTGGATCACAGGGGACACTGTTCTATTAGGCTCTCTGTGGTAGCAGAAGTCAGTGTAGCCAGCATCTCCCCTGTGCCTTCTGGACTAATCTAAGGGTGTATAATGTGATCTTTGTCTTTATAGACATGAGCACACAAGTGGATACTACAGAGTGTCATCGTATTTCCTTGGGAAATTGCTGGGTGAGCTGGTGCCCAGGAGGTTTTTGCCAAGTATTATATTTATCGTTATAATGTTCAGCATAGCAGGTAAGTGACACATTTGAGTCAATGGAGCAAGATCAATTATTAGTTATCTATATTGATAATGATAATGGAACAAGATCAATTATTACATAACTATATTTATAATGATAATGGAGCAAGATCAGTTATTAGATATATATCCACATATACTGTAAAGAACTAATTTTTACTCTATGTGTGTGTGTGGGGTGTGTCTGTCTGTCTGTCATGTGTGTGTGTGTGCACTAAGTAAATGCAGTGCCTGAAGAAGCCAGAAGAGAACATCAGATCCTCTGGAACTGGAGTTATAAAAGAATTTGAGACACCTTGTGGGTGCTCGGATTGTAATTCAGGGCTTTGAACTAATAGCACATGCATTTACCAGTGAGCCATCTCTCTGACCCAACTGTATATTTTTCTGTGTGTTTGTGTATAAATGTCTGTTTATGTAAATACAATATAGAAAAGAGGATAATATCTCTTATATATGTACATGTGTATAAAATATTTACTGTATACTTTGTCTTCCTCTGCCATCTTACAAACAGGGACAGCAACTTTGGTGTTAGTTCAAATTATATTATGTAAATATTATTTAAAATATTTTAACAGAATAATCTGTACACAAGGTCAGGCTTTATCCTAGACTGTTTAGAATTTCCATAATTTTTACATATATAGAGACACACATGCACAAAGATAAGCACTGATAAACCTTAGTCTGTTTTACAAGACATTTATCTTTCAGAACCAGCCATATTTGGGAGGGTTTTGGGAAATATGTTTGTCCTTCTAGCCAAACAATCAGAATTTGATCCTCAGAATCCACAGTAGAAGAGAGAATCAGTCCAGAAAGTTGTCCTTCAACTCCACATGTACACTACAGCACATATACACCACGGCACATGCACACCACGGCACATTCACACCACGGCACATGCACACCATGGCACATGCACACCATGGCTCACGCACACCATGACACCGGCACACCATGGCAATGCACACCACAGCACATGCACGCCATGGCACATGCATGCCATGGCACATGCATACTCTAGCACATGCATGCTATGGCACATACACACCCAGGTGTTGAAATAACCAGGATAGCTAAAGGATACAACAATTATATTTTTATTTATTATAAGGGGAAAGCTTATGAAACAAGAAATGAGAAATCCAAGCATAGCAGTGACCCACGGGAATGGCACAGAGAGAGAGAGAACACCTGGGCTCAGAGAGAGAGAGCACCTGGGTGGTACAGAGGTTTTGCCTCAGGTCCCAAAAACCATGTCTTAACTGGACTCCACCTCTTAAAGATTATTGGCTAACAAGGTTTTCCCCATCATCTCCCCCTTTTGTCTAAACAAGAGTGATGCAAACCCAATACTAAACTATATACAATAGGAACAGATATCAAGTTTAAAATTAGAAACAACCTAAGCAATATTAAGCAAGGAACACATGACAAATGTTTTATCTTTTTTTAATTTAATTTATTTATTTATTAAAGATTTCTGTCTCTTCCCTGCCACCGCCTCCCATTTCCCTCCCCCTCCCCCAATTGAGTCCCCCCCCAGCCCGAAAAGCAATCAGGGTTCCCTGTGCTATGGGAAGTCCAAGGAACTCCCACCTCCATCCAGGTCTAGTAAGTTGAGCATCCAAACTGCCTAGGCTCCCACAAAGCCAGTGCGTGCAGTAGGATCAGAAACACATTGCCATTGTTCTTGAGTTCTCAGTAGTCCTCATTGTCCGCTATGTTCAGAGTCCGGTTTTATCGCAGGCTTTTCCAGACCCAGGCCAGCTGGCCTTGGTGAGTTCCCAATAGAACATCCCCATTGTCTAAGTGTGTGGGTGCACCCCTCGGAGTCCTGAGTTCCTTGCTCGTGCTCTCTCTCCTTCTGCTCCTGATTTGGACCTTGAGATTTCAGTCCTGTGCTCCAATGTGGGTCTCTGTCTCTGTCTCCTTTCATCGCTTGCTGAAGGTTAATATTCAGGAGGATGCCTATATGTTTTTCTTTGGGTTCTCCTTATTTAGCTTCTCTAGGATCACTAATTATAGGCTCAATGTCCTTGGTTTATGGCTAGAAACCAAATATGAGTGAGTACATCCCATGTTCCTCTTTTTGGGTCTGGCTTACCTCACTCAGGATAGTGTTTTCTATTTCCATCCATTTGCATGCAAAATTCAAGAAGTCCTTGTTTTTTATTGCTGAGTAGTACTCTAATATGTATATATTCCATACTTTCTTCATCCATTCTTCCATTGAAGGGCATCTAGGTTGTTTCCAGGTTCTGGCTATCACAAACAATGCTGCTATGAACATCGTAGAGCATATACTTTTGTTGTATGATAAGGCCTCTCTTGGGTATATTCCCAAGAGTGGTATTGCTGGGTCCAGGGGTAAGTTGATCCCGAATTTCCTGAGAAACCGCCACACTGCTTTCCAAAGTGGTTGCACAAGTTTGCATTCCCACCAGCAATGGATGAGTGTACCCCTTTCTCCACAACCTCTCCAACAAAGGCTATCATTGGTGTTTTTGATTTTAGCCATTCTGACAGGTGTAAGATGGTATCTTAAAGTTGTCTTGATTTGCATTTCCCTGATCGCTAAGGAAGTTGAGCATGACCTTAAGTGTCTTTTGGCCATTTGAAGTTCTTCTGTTGAGAATTCTCTGTTCAGATCAATGCCCCATTTTATAATTGGGTTGGTTAGCCTTTTAGGGTCTAGTTTCTTGAGATCTTTATATATTTTGGAGATCAGACCTTTGTCAGTTGCGAGGTTGGTGAAGATCTTCTCCCAGTTAGTGGGTTGCCTTTGTGTCTTCGCGACAGTGTCCTTTGCTTTACAGAAGCTTCTCAGTCTCAGGAGGTCCTTAATGTCTGTGCTGCTGGGGTATACGTAAGAAGTGGTCTCCTGTGCCCATCTGTTGTAGGGTATTTCCCACTTTTTCTTCTATCAGGTTCAGTGTGTTCGGACTGATATTGAGGTCTTTAATCCATTTGGACTTGAGTTTTGTGCACGGTGATAGATATGGATCTATTTTCATTCTTCTACAGGTTGACATCCAGTTTTGCCAGCACAATTTGTTGAAGATGCTCTCTTTTTTCCATTGTATACTTTTAGCTCCTTTATCGAAAATCAGGTGTTCATAGGTTTGTGGGTTAATGTCAGGGTCTTCTATTCGATTCCATTGGTCGACTTCTCTGTTTTTATGCCAATACCAAGCTGTTTTCAATACTGTAGCTCTGTAGAGTTTGAAGTCAGGGATGGTAATGCCTCCAGACGCTCCTTTGTTGTATAAGATTGTTTTGGCTATCCTGGGTTTTTTGTTTTTCCATATAAAGTTGATTATTGTCTTCTCCAGATCTGTGAAGAATTTTGATGGGATTTTGATGGGGATTGCATTGAATCTATAGATTGCTTTTGGTAGAATTTCCATTTTTACTATGTTGATCCTCCCAATCCAGGAGCAAGGAAGATCTTTCCATTTTCTGGTGTCCTCTTCAATTTCTTTCTTCAAAGACTTAAAGTTCTTGTCAAATAGATCTTTCACATCCTTGGTCAGAGTTACCCCAAGATATTTTATGCTATTTGTGGCTATCTTGAAAGGTGATGCTTCTCTAATTTCCCTCTCTGTTTCCTTATCCTTAGTGTGTAGGAAGGCCACTGATTCTTTGGAGTTGATCTTGTATCCTGCCACATTACTAAAGGTGTTTATCAGCTGTAGGAGTTCTTTGGTAGAGTTTTTGGGGTCGCTTATGTATACTATCATATCATCTGCAAATAACGAGAGCTTAACTTCTTCTTTACGATACGAATCCCCTTGATCCCTTTATGTTGTCTTATTGCTGTTGCTAGAACTTCAAGCACTATATTGAAGAGGTATGGTGAGAGTGGACAGCCTTGTTGTGTTCCTGATTTTAGTGGGATGGCTTTGAGTTTTTCTCCATTTAATTTAATGTTAGCCGATGGCTTGCTGTAAATAGCTTTTATTATATTTAGGTATGACCCTTGTATCCCTAATCTCTCCAAGACTTTTATCATTAAGGGGAGTTGAATTTTGTCAAATGCTTTTTCAGCATCTAATGAAATGATCATATGGTTTTTTTTCTTTCAGTTTATTTATATGGTGGATTACATTGATAGATTTGCATATGTTGAACCAGCCCTGCATCTTGGGATGAAGCCTACTTGATCATAATGGATAATTTTTCGGATGTGTTCTTGGATTCGGTTTGCCAGTATTTTATTGAGAATTTTTGCGTCGATATTCATGAGTGAGATAGGCCTGTAATTTTCTTTCTTGGTTGGGTCTTTGTGTGGTTTTGGTATCAGGGTAACTGTAGCTTCATAAAATGAATTTGGCAATGACTCTTCTGTTTCTATATTGTGAAATACATTAAGGAGTATAGGTATTAGTTCTTCTTGGAAGTTTTGGTAGAATTCTGCATTGAAACCATCTGGTCCTGGGCTTTTTTTGGAAGGTAGATTTTTGATAATGGTTTCTAGTTCTTCGCGACTAACAGGTCTATTTAGATCATTCACCTGGTTTTGGTTTAGCTTTGGTATGTGGCACTTATCTAAAAAAATGTCCATTTCTTTTGCATTTTCTAGTTTTGTGGCATACAGGCTTTGTAGTAAGATCTAATGAGTCTCTGAATTTCCTCTGTGTCTGTGGTTATGTCCCCCTTTTCATTTCTGATCTTATTTATTTGCGTGTTCTCTCTCTGTCGTTTAATTAGTTTAGATAGGGGTTTGTCAATCTTGTTGATTTTCTCCAAGAACCAACTTTTTGTTTCATTGATTCTTTGGACTGTTTTCTGTGTTTCTATTTTGTTGATTTCAGCCCTCAGTTTGATTATTTCCAGTCTTTTACTCCTCCTGGGCATGTCTGCTTCTTTTTTTTCTAAAGCTTTCCGGTGTGCTGTTAAGTCTCCGATGTATGCTTTCTCTCTTTTCTTTAAGTGGGCACTTAGTGCTATGAACTTTTCTCTTAGCACTGCTTTCATAGTGTCCCATAGGTTTGAGTATGTTGTCCCTTTATTTTCATTAAATTTAAGGAAGACTTTAATTTCTTTCTTGATTTCTTCCTTGACCCAGGTGTGGTTCAGTAGTTGACTGTTCAGTTTCCATGAGTTTGTCGGCTTTCTGGAGGTAGGATTGTTGTTGAATTCTAACTTTAATCCGTGGTGATCTGATAAGACACAGGTGGACACTGATATTTTTTTGTGTCTGTGGAGGTTTCCTTTGTTTCCGAGTATGTGGTCCATTTTGGAGAAGGTTCCATGGGCTGCAGAGAAGAAGGTATATTCTTTCCTATTTGGGTGAAATGTTCTATAGATGTCTGTTAAGTCCATTTGCTTCATTACCTCCAGTAGTTCTCTTACTTCTCTATTAGGTTTCTGTCTGATTGACCTGTCCATTGCTGAGAGAGGTGCATTGAAGTCTCCTACTACTAGTGTGTGTGGTTTGATGTCTGCCTTGAGTTTTAGTAATATTTCTTTTACAAAAGTGGGTGCTTTTATATTAGGGGCGTAAATATTCAGGATTGAGACATCATCCTGACAAATTGTTCATGTTATGAGTATAAAGTGTCCATCTCGATCTCTTCTGATTGATTTTAGTTTGAAGTCAGTTTTGTTAGAAATTAATATGGCCACACCTGCTTTTTTCTTAGGACCATTTGCTTGAAAGACCTTTTCCCAACCCTTTACTCTGAGTAGATGCCTGTCTTTGTGGTTGAGATGTGTTTCTTGCAAGCAGCAGAATGTTGGATCCTGTTTTCGTATCCAATCTCTTAGCCTGTGCCTTTTTATAGGTGAATTGAGACCATTAATATTAAGTGATATTATTGACCAGTGGTTGTTTATGCCGGATATTCCTATTGTTTTTGGAAGTAGAATTTGTGTGTCTCCCTTCTTTGAGTTGTGCTAGTGAAGGGTCGCTAGATGCTTGAGTTATTGTAGGCAGTGTTGGCCATGTTGGATTCCTTGGGTTGCGGTTTTCCTTCTATTACTTTCTGTACGGCTGGGTTCGTGGCTACGTATTGTTTAAATTTGTTCTTATCCTGGAATGTCTTGATTTCTCCATTTATAGTGAACAAAAGCTTGGCTGGGTATAGTAGTCTGGGCTTGCATCCATGGTCTCTTAGCTTCTGCAGTACTTCTATCCAGGACCTTCTGGCTTTCATTGTTTCCATAGAGAAATCAGGTGTAAGTCTGATCGGTTTACCTTTATAAGTTACTTGGCCTTTTTCCTTTGCAGCTCTTAGTATTCTTTCTTTAACCTGTATATTTTGTGTTTTGATTATTATATGGCGAGGGGATGTTTTCCTCTGATCCAGTCTGTTTGGTGTTCTGTATGCTTCTTGAATATTCAAAGGAATATCTTTCTTTATGTTGGGAAAGTTTTCCTCCATAATTTTGTTCAAAATATTTTCTGGGCCTTTGAGCTGTGACTCTTCTCCTTCTATTCCTATTATTCTTAGATTTGGTGTTTTTATTGTGTCCCATAATTCCTGAATGTTTTGTGATGAGAATTTGTTCGCTTTGCAGTTTTCTTTGATCAGAGCGTTTATTTTCTCTATGGTGTCCTCAGAATCTGAGATTCTTTCTTCTATTTCTTGTATCCTATTGATTATGCTTGTTTCTGTAGGCTCTGCTCGTTGACCTAGATTTTCCATATCCAGCTGGTCCTCAGTTTGTGTTTTCTTTTTTGCTTCCATTTCAGTTTTCAATTCTTGAACTGTTTCCATTACCTGTTTGATCGTTCTTTCTTGGTTTCCCAGGGTATTATGTACGTATTTACTCATTTCTTCAAATTTTTGGTTATACTTCTCATTCATTTCTATAAGGGCATTTTTCACATGTTGTTTAAGGGATTCTACTGCTTTCAGAAAGTCAATTTTTTCCACTTTTTCTGTGTTAGGGTGTTGGAGACCTTCTGTTGTAAGATCATTGGGTTCTGGTGTTTTCATGTTGTTTTTCAGATTATTGGGTGAATTCTTTCCTTGGCGCCTGCCTATCTCCTCCTATCGATGCTATCTAAGGGGTCTGTTAAAACTGGTTCAGGTTTCCCTGCTGGCCAGGGGCTCCTCTTACAAAATGCCCTTGCTCTGTTTCCTGGATCCTGCCGGGGCCAAGATCCCTCTCACCCCTCAGAAGGGTCTTCAGGAATAGGACCCGGCTCCTCCTTTGCCAGGGACCTCCCCAACCGATGGCCTACCTCTTTGGTTTAATTGTAGTGGGGCGATCTGTTCTTGGTGTTGCGCGTGGTCCCTGCAGCCTGCTTCTGCTGCTGGAACGGTTCCCGCCACCAGCAGCCTGTGTCCTCTGCTGCTGCTCCGGTCCCAGCCGGTTCTAGCCTGTCCCAGTCGGTCCCCGCTGGCTGCGCTGGGCGTCCTCTGGCCGCCTTCCGCTGCCTGGTGTTCTGGCCGCGCCTTCCGCCGCCCCGTCAAATGTTTTAATAAACATTCTATTCCTACGAGTGTAAATCTTACATCAGAAATAAGATTGACTAAATTATAAGAGGAAGGTAACTACAACTATCTAATCTTCAACCCCATAGAAGGCCTGAGAAGGGAAATAATATTACTTGAGGAGGCAGGAAGTGCAATCAAGTAGCTTCCATAGTGAGCAGAATATGACGGAGACATTTAGCTACTTGAGCAATCACCCAAAATCTCTTTTGCAATGTTGAAGCAACTATCTTTGGCCAAGGCCTAGCATAACTGACAGACCATTTTCAGATGCAGGAATATTTTCAAAACCATCTTACACAGTCTTGGCAAGATTTGACAGTCTTTTTTCTTGTGTCCTGCTTATCCATTCCACATACCATGTACTCTGAAAACAGTTAGACAAGGAATTCAGCTCTCCTAGACTCTAACTTGCATCTTTGTGGCTATTATAGAAACACAGGACTATGCATGACTCATAACATTAGCTCTATAAAGCTTACAAATCAGCTTGTGGGGCCTGTTGCCTTCCTCCAGAGCAGTTACATGATGACTTCACAGGGAAAACTAAATTTGAAGGCACCTACCTTTCCTCTATATATTAAAACCACTGCAAGGTTATTTAATTCTTGCCTCAGACACCTTGCAGTATATCAAGGAAGGAAGTCAGGACAGGAACTCAAGGAAGAAACCTAGAGGCAAGAAGTGAAGCAGAGGCCATGGAGGAGTGCTACTTACTGACTTGCTCCTAATAGCTTTCTCAGCCTGATTTCTTATGGAAAAAAGGACAACCTCTCCAGGGATGGCATCTACAGTTGTTTAAAAGCTACCACATAAATTCATCAAGAAAATGACCTCATAGGCTTGCATACAGACCAATCTAATGGAGGTATTTTCTTAATAAGGTTCTATCTCCCCATAGTCCTGATGCTATTTTTTCACTAATGTAATTACAATAAACACAAGGGAATGAGGACAAGAAAGATTTCTATTGGTAATTCTCCTGTGAGATAATACAGTAGAATTTTGACCAGTTGTGTTCCCTATAGCTGTATATGTCAGGATCTTATAAATGAATCATAATCATATATAAAAGAGAATAGGTATTATATGGAAAGGTGTTTTATGGCAAGTATAAAAATGAAGTCATATGATGAGGACGGAGAGCTGCCTCATTGGTTAAGAGCACTTGCTGCCACCCCACAGCCTCCAAATCTGGTTCCCAGCACCCTCATCATCAGCTCTAGATCTGATCCCCTTTTCTGGCCTCCAAAAACAACTGCACATATTTGGCATACAGTAGCATGACACACATAAAGGTACACATGAATTAAAATAGAATGAATCTTTAAAACGGAACTGTATAATGACTTTATGTAGTCACATGGAAGGAAGCAATTAAATTGGAGACCCAGAGTAGTAGAGTGATTCTAAAATAGTTACTAGTCTCTTGGAGATTGAACTATTATTTGAAAACTGACAATATCCTGGATTTCAGTAGTGGGTTGGATTGACCCCCCCCTTTTTTTTTCTTTCTAAGGAGTACGAACAGATGTGAAGGGTTTCTTCACTATGATATTTACCGTCATTCTGTTGGCTAATTGTGTCAGTTCCCTTCCACTGTCTATAGGAGCAGGGGATAATGCAGCAGCTGTACCAACACAACTGATAGCCATCTATTTTATGTTCATGGTGGTGAGTATGAATTGTTTTTATAAGAGGAAAATTTCCATGTGTTCCTCCTTCCACATCTAACCTATTTGACACACCAGGACTTGGGAGAGAGGCTTTATGCTAAAACTTATTATAGTCTGTAGAAGAGAAGGAGCTGCCTTTCCTTCTAGGCTTTGTGTCTGCTGCTCTGATGTCAGTCCTATGATGTGGTTGGCATGGCCTTTCTAGTGAGCTCTTAACAGACATTTCTTGGGATCACATTACAAAATCATAGTAAATTAGAACTTCAAGAAAGTGTTGTGATTGGCTGATCCCCCACAACAGGACAGACTGCATCCAGTGTGAGAAACTTGCCTGCTATTTTAACATAGCAGAGGTGATTTGGTTTATTTAGTAGTCTCATGTGGGAAAGCCAAGGATAATTACATGGTCAATGTAATTGTTCAGTATGAGGAGTCTATCTCAGAGTTCACTTGTTCTGAAAACTGTTAGAAATAGTAAAAGATTCCAGATTCCTAAGTACTAACCATTCTCCTGAATTAGCACACTTCTGCTCATCTGTCTGTAATTGATTACTCAGTCTTAGTCTTTCATGCCCATAAATTACACAATTAGTGTAAATGAATCAATCAATTAATGGAGCCAGATCCCACATTTTTCCAAAAAGGATATCAAGTAATTAGAACAATTAATGTGTGGTATTTGTTCACATTCTTTCTGCTAGTGCAGGAGCATACTGTTGCTTGGCAATGGCAGATGCATGTCATTGAGAAAAAGAAAACATTTGGTTTTATTCTTATTTATATGGTCATATATGTATAACTATCCTCTAATGTAAAACTTCAACAAATATGTTATTAATTTTTGTTTGAGAAATTGTTAAATGCACATAAAGTGTTTAAACAAAGTCCATGGTATTTTCTTTCTCCTAAATCCTTCCCTGTGGAATTTTGAATGAGAAATGTCCCCTAAGGCTCAGGGACTTCAACACTTGCTTCAAAGATGATGACATTGTTGGAGAGGTTCTGGAAACATTAGGAGGTAGAGACCTGATGGGAAAGTCTGTCCCTGGGCAGGAGAGGTACTGTGGGTGTCTATAGTGTTGTCCTCCTTCCTCTTCCCTCTCTTCTCTGCACTGTCACATGAAGATGTGTGCATTTTGCTTTCTCTCCCATTTCCTTGCCTGCTGCCTCCCTTCCAAGATGGCCTCTTATCTGTCTGGAAACCCAAAGCCAAAGGAACTCTCTTTTCCACAAGCTGCTTTGATCATGGTGTTGTGTCTTAGCAGTAGGGAAGTAACTGCTACATTTCCTGTTACTCATGCCATTCTCCTTTCCTTGTCTCATTCTTTGTTCTGCATTTTGTAAACCACTGGGTCCACTTAGCTGTGCCCATACATGCCTCTATGGAGGGCCACCTACTGGAGGATGGGCAGGCTCTCAGGGGTCACACCCTAAAAGAAAACTGGCTTTCACCCTCCCTGCAGCCATCAACTGCCTGTAGTCCCTCAGGTAGGGAGTTCATGGCCAGCTCTATCCTTCATACAGGAATTTTTTTTTCTGTCTTGATCTTGTACAAGTGTTGCCCATGTTGTCACAACTGCTCTGCATTCATATATGTTACTGTCCTGTTGTGACAGGAAAACACTCTCTTGTTGTAATTGTCCACTGCCTCTGGCTCTTACAATCTCTCTAGCCTCTCTTTCATCATGATCCTTGATCCATGGCAGGAGGGTGTGATATCCAGATGTCCCATTCAGGGCTGTATCCTGTGTAGTCTCTTTTCTCTGTGTGTTGACCTGTGGAGAGTCTGTTTTAATCACTGTCTCCTGCAAAAGGAAGTTTTTCTGAAGGTCTGAGATGCACTAATTTATGAATATCACAACTCATTCAACGTCAATTTAATACTGTGTCAATTTAGAAGAATAACAGTAGATTCTCCTCTGGGACCAATGACCCCACTAACCACAACATCAGGCATGATTTATATTATTGCAGCCCCAGGAAAGCAGTCTCAGGCTGAAGCATGGCTCAAAGAGATACTCACAGCATCAAAAAATATAGACATTTTCTATCTGAGGGCTTTTTTAGGGAAAGTTAAAAAACTCATGCATACTCTTGGTGGTTACTTGTCTTTATTTTCTCGTGTTGGCTCCTCTTGCTATTACATTCATTTTATTCCTACTCATTGATCCTTGAATTACTACGTTGCTTTGTCTTCTGTCTTTTTTTTTTTTACAAATTATATCTAAGCCAATAATTTCAGGCAGTATAAAAGTCATAAAAAGGTCACAGTCCAAATGTAAAGATTGTGCAAAGCTTCTAATTATCCAGTAACACCTGCAGCCCTCATTTGTGGCTGCAGAGTAAAGTTATCTTCTGTAGCCTTGATTAGTCAGAATTTATTTTCACAAATTGAGGTCAGGAATAGGTGCTAGGAATTCATCATTTGCCAGCTAGCAATCATTGGGCTTTTTGTATTTACAACTGAGCCAGATCCTACAGCTGTGTGTCATTCCTCATCTAGGATGGTTGATCTTAAAAACTATTAGCAAGACATCTGATCTAGTCTAAAACTTTTTTGAAGATAGTACCACCTAATGGTTACACAAACAACCTGTAACTGCAATTCTCAGCATTAAGATTAAATGGATTTGATCCAGTTTGGCTCCTAGTTAACATTAATTAAAGCTGAGATTTAAAGCACCTTCTAAGTGTTACTCGCAGACCTCGTGTAACCATAGGCCTAGCTACGAAACATTATTTTAGTCATCAAAATTATACAGTTTCAGGAGAAATAATCTTCCTGACAAGCCATGGATATAAATTCCAAGTGAGATGTAATCATGAGATAAACACACTATAATTCAGGCAGTGGGGAACTTCCCATACCATATACATAGCAGAAGCAACAAGGTGAAAGCACAGCATAAGCAGAAGACATTTTGGGTTCTATAGTCTCATAAGTCTTGATTGAACTCTTGGGGGGCTGACGCCTGAACCTCAGTTGCCATCTGCTGTTGCTATAATATGTGTGTTGGCTACCAACCAGTATTCCATCTTGTAGATGAGGTCATAAATATAATCAAAAAGCAAATGGTTGGGCACTGCCATTGTAGTAGTCTCTCCAATACCTCCATGTATTTCATTTACCACAAGAAAGAGAATACAGACAGGTGGAAAGGCCACTGTCCTTGATCATACTTGTAACTTCATCCCAGGTCTCCTGGAATTCCCCTCCCCCATATTTCAACAGTTCTATCTCACTTCCCATACTGATATCAGCCAGTCAAGATGTAAGTCATTACATACAGCAGACAAAGAAAAACTGAAGGAAGTTCTGCCCATCATATTCAGAATTGGACTTAGAATACTCTGCTAAGGCTACTGGCTTGGATTGTAGAATAGTTTCTGTAAAGAAAGTCTTGGCATTCTTGTTCTTAGACCCAAAAGTCTCTTTTATTATTGGGCACTCCTTTTGGGGTATGGTAATAATAATTTCACCCAAGATTGTTGGGGAGCTGGACTCTCAGGGGGATGGAGCAGCAGACAAACATGACAGTGGAATAGTGAAGACGGTGATAAAAAGAAATTCCACACTAGCTCAGAACTGAGTATAATAAAGCATTATTTGTTTAGGGGTAGGCTCACAGATCACAGTCCTCTGCTTGAATAGGAAATAGCAACTGAATCCCACAGCCAGAAGAAAGAGAGAACACGAGCTTTATGTGGGCATTTATAATATAAGAGGCCACACCCAAGTGGGCAGGTAACTTAAAGGTTACTGGCTATAGGAGTTCCTACAGCACCACAGATAATCTGTAGGAGATTGGCTCTATTGCCATCTGTAGTAGGAGCAGCCCAGCTCCCACACGGCCAGTTTTACCTGAAATAACAATACACAAATTGTATTCTTTTAAACACTGCCTGGCCCATTAATTCTAGCCTCTTATTGGCTAATTCTCACATATTGCTTTAACCCATATTTAATAATCTATGTAGCACCACGAGGTGTGGCTTACCAGGAAAGATCTTAACCTGTGTCGGGTAGGAGAATCATGGCGACTGCCTAACTTGGCTTCTTTCTCCCAGCAGTCTGTTCTGTTTACTCTGCCTACCTAATGTTCTTTCCTATTAAAGGGCCAAGGCAGTTTCTTTATTTAACTAATGAAATCAACACAAAACAGAAGACTCCCACATCAGCCATCCCAGAGCAAGGACCACAAAGCACAGCAGAAACAGCAAGGCCCATGACCATTTCCAGGAGCTCTGCCCATTGTTGGTTCTGGTCCTTCTAAGGGAAACTTAGTCACCTTGGAGCCCAGAACTGCCTGAGCATTGTTATAGAAGGTTTAAAAATGAAATGCAGTTCTACAGTGACTCTAGTGCATTGGTGGAGGGTTAAAGACGATTGAATGTGTCCATAAAAATAAGATGGACAAAGTTTGTGTGACCTCTCCCTTTTCACTTCTCATATGTGGTTACATATTTAGGGGGGTGTACACAACAGAATAAATCTATCCTGGCGAATATATGGCTGGAAATTTCAAAGGTATATGGGATATGATATTCAACTGTCTTGAGCAAGTTTCCTTACATTGTGAGACAGATTGGTACTTTTTTGGAGTAGGCTGCCTAGAACAACAGCTCTTCCTAATGATGTTGCTCCTGTTGCTTGCCAGCCTTTCTGCCTTGGTTTACATGTCTGCTTTTGCTATGGGGGGGTTCTTTGGATCCTAAGTTTTATCTGTGTCCACAACAAATATAATCTTTACTTAAAAAATTAGAACTGAGACACCATTGAAAGGAAGCAGGCCTCTACCTCCTTGAGGCTGAATGACTTGCTCATCCATAACTAAACTTTGCTTTCACTTTGAAAGCACTTTTTTTTTGGTTTCAGAAAAACTTTAGATATAAAGAGCATATTCGATCATTTCTGTCAAATATAAAAATAAAACTTTAAAGAAATCTGTTTAATTACTTGAATCTTTTCAAAATAAACCTTTAAAATCATGGCTCAAGACTTGCTATCTCTAAATGGTTACTAAGCAAGGTCAACCCTGGGATTCCCAGCTAGCTTGTGGATCCACTGAATACCAGGTCTTGAAATAAAGTCACTGATTATAATACACACTCAGAAATTTGTCCACTGTCAGACAGAAACCTACAGAACTCTTCAGCAGCTCTGTGGTCAACAAAAAGCTATGAACAGACAATAAAGAAGTTTCTTTCACCTATTTCTTTCATTCACATTAGAAAATACAAACAATACAAATTCTTGCTTATTAAAATAAATGATTAACCAATAAACCCTCATTCCATGAATATAGTTCCTAATACATTTTCTAAAATAATGAGATAATATGCCAAAATGTGGGCACCATTAAAACAGAAAGCACACATTCCAGCACCGTCCTTATGGCTTCCAGCATGTTTCAAATGTGAAAAAATAATTGCACCCTTTTCCTGCAGCTGACAGATTTCTTACTGAGGTAATTAAACTCACCAACATATTTGAACAGCAACACAAAATCAAATTCTAAACTAGCATATTAATGTCATAGATATAAAAGATTTCTCTTTACTCTTCTTCTGTACCCTGATGATAAGGAAATAGTTGATATTTAATACCTACTTTCAATAGTAAAACACCCATGGTCCATGGAATTTTAAAACGTAAGAATTTTTTTAAAAATATTTTAAGAATGTAAAGTTAAGACTGAGTGTGGTGGAATATCCCCTTATCCCCAGTACTCAGGAGTTAGAGGCAAGTGGATCTCTGTGAGTCCAAGGCCAGACTGGTCCACAGAGCAGTGAGTTCCAGGGCAGCCATGGTTACATAGAGAAACCCTCTCTCAAAAAATAAAAAAAAAAAGATGACAAAGGTGGTGGGAGGTAAAGATAGATTTTTAATTAAAAAAGGTTTATGTATGAAGATTAAAATAGCTAGACTGGAAAAAAAACTAGAAAGCTTATACAAGTTTCAATGGTCCAAGTAAGTTATTTTAGAAATATAAAAGATATGACTTAAAGATGATATACATGATAGGGCAATTTGTGAGTCAAAGGTCAATACACCGATGTCAAACCTGTACTTAAATCAACAGAGTTATCATGAGGCATTGACCAAGTCATTTCACATTTATGAACACTGGCTTCTAAAGCTTTATATAACCAATTCCAAATATCACAGAACCAAAACAAAAATACATGTAGTAAAGATAGTTAATTGTGTTTTGCTAACAATATTAGATTAACTCCTTAAAAAATAAAACCAAGATTTGTTTATATTTGTTTGTGTTCCTTTGTTTGAGCTTTATCTAAATGTCACATGGAGTTATAGTCCCAAGGCTGGTAGAGCTGTCCTGTGTTTTCAGAAGAGCTTACACCCTACAGCAAACGGGACACAGATGGTGAGAGAGGTCAGGCAGAACTTTGGCCATTTTCTTCCTAGCTCAGACAGTATGAAAGACTATCAGATCCCTCTGGTAAATTCTCTGTCTTTTTGATCAGGGAGGTCATGTAGTTATGGAGAGGCACACACTGACCAGCCTATATATTACAATAAATTCTTGGGGGTCAGGCTATATGCAATGGAAAACAGAATTCATAATTATGTGGGAGTTGTGTTGGTTAGTTTTCTTTTCATGTTGTCATAAGTCTTGGTCACAATGGAGAGGAAACCTCTTCAGGAGTGCTGGCACATGCCTACAGCCAGCCTGGTCTATGGGACAGCTAGAGATGCAGAGAGAAATCTTGTTTCAAGCAAAACAAAACAAAACCAACCTCTGTTGAGAAAAGATTTCATCAGATTCACTTTTGGCAAGTCTAGGGAGGAAGTGTTTTTTTTATTAATGATTGATGTGGGAAGTCCCAGCCCACTGTGGACAACATTACAGTGGGAAGGTCATCCAGGCTGTAGAAGCCATGATGAGTAAGTCATTAGGCACCATTCTTCCATGGTCTCTGCTCCAGCTCCTGCCTCCAGAATCCTCCCTTGAGTTTCCACGTTGACTTCTCTTAATGATAGACTGTGGTCACGATGGGAAAGCCAAATAAACCCTTTTGTCCATTATCACACGAGTAGAAACCAAATTTAGCTGGAGTCTACACAGGTGGTGTTAATCAGGTATGAGTGTTAATGAACTTGCCAAAAGAAAAAAAAAGAGGTATGGATATAATTAATAACCCACATGGGAGATCTGAACTGAACCCCTTTGAAGGAATCCAGATGAACTTCTAAAATATCAAAGAGACAAAGAAACTGAAACAAACAAACAAACAAACATTTAAATATGCACTGGTAGGAATCCACCACCTCCTCAGGTGGAGGGACATGAACATTACATGTCTCCTATCTTTGGGAGTCCAGTGGATTTCCCACCAAGGAAACTAAAATCAATTTCTCATTAGCTGTGTCGAGGATCTCTCCTCCACTTTGCTTTCTCTTGGGTTACAAAGTTTTCACCCAGAATCGTCTGCTAAAATTTACAGTCCATGGTTTTCCTGCTTGGGGACCAAATACTACTGAAATGTCAAAAACCAAAACAAAACAGAAAACAAGTTGAAAAGGAACTGGGAGGCCCACTTGCTGTGATGTTAACTGAGAACACAGTTCAGAAGGTTAAGGAGGTGGGTCACGTTCCAGCCAAGGGAAAGGCTGCTGATATTATTGTCCCAGGGAAATGAACAATCTTAGTTCAAAGAAAACCTTTAAAATGAACATTTAAAAGTCTTGTTTATTATTTTACATGATAATAAAAACTTATTAATGTAACAAAAACATTTTTTCTAACAGTTCATTTTGATGAGTGTCTAGTCTTAACCTTAGCTAGGAAACAAAATATACATATAAACAAACAAAAACCAGAAACCTTTCTCTGATGAACAAGTACATGTGCCCCAAATTATCCCCTTTGGATCATTCAGGTAGCCTTTAAAATTCATTCCCAAAAGGACTCTAACAATCCCTCATAACCTAAGAGACATGGAGTTGGTAGCATTCACTCTGCTTTTACCTTTGCTAAATGTGCTTATACAACTGAAATAGACAGCTGAATACTTGGGTAAACTGTACAGTGCATGTGCCCAAGGAGTGATGCTCCATCTGTGTGGCAGGACATCCTCAGGTTTAAGGATCCCTTTCCTTTGAGTGGGACGCTGTCTATCAGAGAAAATGGCATATTGCCTTCTGTATGTGAGAAGGACACATGGATTGGTAAAGTTTGCCAGAGTCTTTCTTCTTGTTTCCAGATGTACAGGCAGGCCCACTGAACACCTCTTATCAGTAGAGAGGATGAGTTATTCCTCACACTACAGGGGATGGATTCTCTCATCAATGGGTAGTGATAGCTCCAATGGATGATGTTACCTCTGTCAGGTGTATTGTTGATGTTTAGAATTGTTCACCTAATCTGGGTCTTTATTATTTCCTTGTGAAATGTAGTATTGTCTTTTCAATTTCTGTAAACCATACTGACATTTTGAAGAGGATTGCATTGAATCTATTTGTTGCTTTAGGTAGGATGGACATTTTCCTATTTATTCTATGAATCTATTAGCATAGAGGTCTATCTTCTTGTATATTCAATTTTTTATCCATGTCTTAAATTTTCTCTTGTACAAGTGTTTTATTTGTTTATTTATGGCAATATATTTCTCCCCTTTCCCCCTTTTGAGTTTATTGTGAATGAGGCCAATTCCCTCATTTTGATCCCATTGTGTTTGAAATGTGTAGTTGAAAAAACTGACTTTTATCTGTTTGCCATGGTGTTTTATCACAGCCACAAAAAAGAACTAAGACAGCTTGTTATTATATAAATTATTAATGTGTATCATATAATAATTATATTATATTATGAAGTTTTTTATTGGACTTTAAAATCTAGTTATGAAGACAAATGTATTTTCTGTAGAATCGTTTGGTCAGGAGCAGTCTGAATGCATGCACACAGTCATTGTTTTGCAATGCTACTGTACTTAAGAGTGGACAGAACAAGTTTTATGTGAACTTCAGAGCTGTTCCTTGTTCAGCCCCATCAGTGCCTTATGCCATTTCCGTGTGGTTCTGTGGTTTGGTATTGTTTTTAAATGGGGGATTGGGCACTCTTTCTTCTGCTTTTTACCACATTGTGTGGTTTATCTATTCTAGGCTTGAAGTTGTCTTAAGGTGGTATTTTAAATGAATCCAAAATTACTTCTAAAGTCACAAAGGGAAAGTCAAAACTCTTATACGTAACAGGACTTATTGATCCTTGAAATTAAAAGTGGGTATATGATGTTCAGTGTTTGTCCTATTTAGGGTTTCTGTTGCTGTGATGAAACACCATGACCAAAAAGAAAGTTGGGGAGAAAAGGGTTTATTTGACTTACATTTCTATATCACTGTTCATCATTGAAGGAAGTCAGAATCATAACTCAAACTGGCAGGAACTTGGAGGCAGGAGCTGATGCAGAGACCATGGTGGTGCTGCTTATAAGCTTGATCAGACTGCTTTCTTATAGAATGTGGGACCAGCAGACCACGGATGATACCACCCACAATGGCTGTCCTAGACCACTGAATAGATTGTGGATAGATTGCAAGCCCTTTTAAAGATAAACATCTCAAGCACATGTTTGACTCATACAGAGAGGGGTGGCAGGTCCTCCATTTTGAAACCACAAAGAGCCTTGGCTTTGCAAAGAGTGAAGAATTCTGTTTATAGTTAACTGAAAGAATGTTGTAAAAAGCTGATCTGAGCAGAAGTGGTCTGAAGGATGAAGGGGTTTAGAATAGGAAGGATCTTGTCTAGATCTCTAACTCACTGGACTGGTTCTAATGTGTGGTTTGCTCTTTGTAGTTTATTACAGGTCTGTCACTATATTCCATATCCTTCATGCACGACCTCTCCTGGCTTTACTCCTTGAGCATTCTGCATTATGGATTTACAGTAAGTTGTCCTGTCTATCACTGTATTTGGGTTCTCCAACTGTAGCAACTGAAATGATTCCAAACCAAGTCCTTTCCCCAGCTGTAATCTTTAGCCAGCTACTGCCCAGGGGTTTCCTTTTAGGACCAAAAGATGAGAGATTTCCTGTTGGTTTTAGGCAAAGGCCAGTGAGTCATCTTGGGTTTTCCCCTGGTCATGTGTTATCTGAGGGAAATAAAGGGTGAGAAAAATGACAGAGTAAAGGGGAGAGGCAGATGATACAATAAAAAGCTTACAGTTGAGGTGCTGCTCAATAAGGAAATAATTAAAGGATCAGGGACTAAGATATATAGTTTATATCAGATAATAAAAGAAACAGAAACCATGTGATTCCAGAGCCATATTGGCCTTCACAACTTGTTTCAATGAAAACAAACAAGACTATATTGTTGCTATAATTCAGTATTATTGTTTTAATTACAGTGTTTACGGGGTTATGGACTTGGTAGAGAGGGGGGATCCTGGAGTAGTCTAGTTACAGAGTCCACCTCTTAGTAGTTGGAAAACCCCATCATTTCAATCCTAAAATTCCTGAGTATGGGGACGGGATTGCTTTGCTAGACAGACTGAACTTTTTGGGAAACCACAGAGAAACCCTGTCTAGAAAAACCAAAAAAAAAATATTTTTTGGAAATTACTGTCAAAATTGAACTTGGCATTAAAGCTGGAAACATTCCATGGATACTTATGGAAATATTAATCTGTTTGCCTTTCCCTGTTCTTGTTTGTGTTACAGGCTTTGCTGCACAATGAACTCATGGGACAAAACTTCTGTCCAGAAAACAAAATAGAAGAAATCAATAGATGTTATAACTTTGTAATGTAAGCTTGAGTTCAGTGTCACAATGGGGACACAGAATGCTCCTCAGCTTAGAGGGGAAACCCATCCTTTCAGGATTTACTCTGTCCTCTACCCATTCCCCAGAGTGAGTCATTGTAAATCAATGCACAGGTGCCTGTGTTTCCATCCTAGTGTTCCATGTGTAGATAATGTGCAGAAAGGGTTTGTGGGACCTTTAAAATCGTTTTGGTGTGTTGATTGTGGTTTTGAGTTCCTTGATTCAGAATATTTGAATTTGACTTAGTCTCTTCTGTGTAGAAGGAGCAGCGGGCTGCATTCCTGCCACCCGGTTCCCAGCTGCCTGGCTACCTTATGCCCCAAAATAACAACACAGAAACTGTATTCATTTAAACACTGCCTGGCTCATTATATCTATCCTCTTCTTGGCTAACTCTTGCTTAACCCATATTTAGTAATCTGTGTAGCACCACGAGGTGGTGTCTTACCAGGAAAATTCTAGTGTACATCCATCTCGGCTGGAGCTTCATCGCATCTGACCCAGAGAGGAGAGGCATGGCAATTGCCTCACTTCCTCTTCCTCCCAGCATTCTGTTCTGTCTACTCCACCGACCTAATTTTCTGACCTATCAGGCCAAGCAGTTTTCTTTATTGATTAACCAATGAAACAACAGATTGACAAATGAACTTCCCACATCAGTTCTGATAGTTTACAAAGGCATATAGTTTCCACATGGTTAGATTAGGGTTCCTTTGAACAGAGCCCAAGAATGTGAGGACAGCAAGGACCAGTGTAGGGTTAAGCCAGCCAGCTTGCCTCGGGTGAATGTTTACTTATAAATGGGGCGTGTGGGAGCCTGCGCGCCCCTTGCGCTTCCTGTGCTCCGTGGGAACCTTGGTCCTGTAAGTCTATTTCTTCATTAAAGCTGTATATATTCTTTACAATCTGCCTGCATTCATTTACGCTGCTACATTGGTGCTCGGGTCACGTGATGGTGGCAGGAAAGGAACAGAGAAGTGCTGTGTACTGATCATGCTGTTACAGAGGCACTTGTACCACTGTCGGGCAGGGCGGGGCACACAGACTCGTGGTGCGGGGCCAAATCCAAACCGCCGGGGCTAAGTCTCCTGTCCTGTTTGCCAACTTTCTATCAGGCACCAGGAAAAATTGAGTCGCTGTAGATTTCCAGTGACTCAGAATCTCAGCTGCTTCTAGGAGCAGTGCTGAGAGGGTACAATCTGCGTGAAAAGAGAGACCTCCTGAGGGGGGGGTGCCTCCAATTCGGGGCGGGTATCCGCAAAGCCCCACATTGGGCACCAAAAATGTAGCGGCATAAATGAATGCAGGCAGATTGTAAAGAATATATACAGCTTTAATGAAGAAATAGACTTACAGGACCAAGGTTCCTGCAGAGCACAGGAAGCAGAAGGGGCATGCCTGATTTATAAGTAAACATTCGCCCTAGGCAAGCCCGCCCCCTAAGGGGCTGGCTTAACCCTACAGACCAGAAGGTCCTGCCAGCATTCAGGATCTTACTTCTGCCTCACACTCTAGAGGACTTCAGGAAATCAAAGGGTGATGTCTCTGTCTCTGTGTATGTGTGTTTAAATGTTTTATCAGAAGACTTGTCCTGCAATGAAAAACACACATTTCACTAAATTCACTAAAAAGCAGCTGCTTTTCGAACCTGTGTCCAGGGCCTTGCAACCTGCTGTGCTCCATCTGCTACCCAGCCTCTGTCTGAAGTCCTGGGCTCCTGGGGATGTTCCATAGCTGAACATCCATTATTGCCACTATTCTCTTATTCAGAAGCTGACAGAAATCAACTTACTTCTGTCTGAAACCCTTCTTCCCTTCTGGTACTTGGTCTACAATTTGATGCTGTGTTCTTTTGCCTGACTGTGTGCACAAAACTTTGATCTCTTAAAGCATCTGTGTGTTGTTATATACCTGAGGTTTTCTGCTTAATGGGAACCAAGTACTTCATCCATGCCTTTGCCCTTTGAGGAGAGAGCAGCATTGTAGATTTAGAAATGAATGACATGGCTATGTTTACTAAGCCTGCTTCCACTGCTTTTAAATAGATGTGACAGCTATGCTTCTTTGGATGGTTTTGGATAATAACTAAGGGACCTGATTCAAGTAGTTTAAATTGGCATAATATATAACAAAATTGTAAGTACATCATTCTACTGCCAATTAAATATAAAGAAGAAACTGTTAATGATATGTTAAAACTATGGGTTTTTAAAATCATGTAACAGTGAATGTATGATAAACTTTGACATATTTTTATATGTTTACTTACAGATGTACTGGAGAAGAATTCTTGACAATGCGGAGCATCAGTCTCTCTTCATGGGGATTCTGGGAGAATATCGTGGCCTTAGCTTGTATAATGACTATACTCTTATCAATTATCTTTGTACAATTATTAGTTCTTAAGAAAAAGAGACATTTTAAAATTACACTTCCATTTTCTATGAATTATCCTTAAAAACAACAACTAAAAACTTTGTTTTTTTCTGTAAACTCAGTAAAATTAATGGTTACTGGTAGGTTATTGGAGAGAGGCAACCATTGATTTCATGTGTATACTCAGAGGAGAGGCAGTTAGGCTCCAGTAGATATTCACACAGACATTACTGATTAAACTCTGTGGGTCATAAGACAAAACCCAGAGTTATGAATGTGGGAAACAGACTTGTAAAGAGGGTATTTGGAAGGGTTGGAAGGGAAAAAAGAAAGGTAGGAGGGAGTAAGATTGGCTGAAGTGCATAATGTACCTATATGAAATTGTCAAATTTTTAAAAATAAAAATTACAAATATAAAAAGGAACTTCTTATGTATAGTATCTAATGAAGACTTTTTCCTGTTTGGTTTCTGTTATACTGTAAATCAGCAGTGATTATTTTTTAAGTTCACAAAATAGTAACATACTAAATTATAATTAAGAGAATCTAAGCACCATGATAATGTTATTAAATATTGCATGTTAGTTCATCTCATTGATAATTATCATGAGAGGTAGCCAATCAAATTTGTTTTACCTAGGAATAGAGAATTTATCCTAGAAAACCTTACATTGTTTACATTTTTACACTTTCATCTTTGCAGTGAGAACATAAACTATCATCCACCAAATGAATTCATCATCGGCCATTATCTGGTCTATAAAAATGTATTGATTCTGTTTTAAAAGCTTGGTTCAAAAATATGTTATAAAAACCCATGTTATTTCTAAGGTTAAAAATATCAGTGAACTTGGTGTGGTGATGCATTCTTACAGTGTCTTCTCTTGAGAAGTGGAAAGATCCAGAGGTCAAAGTCATCCTCAGGTATACAGTCTGTTTCAGGCTCCCCAAGGCTAAAAAGACACAACTTCAAACCAAAACCAAATCAAACAAAAGACCACACTAAACGAATGACCATAAAAACACCTTTGATGAGCTCATTGAATAAGATTTGTGGATGGTGTCTTAGTTAGAGTTTCTATTGCTTTAATGAAACACTATGACCAAAAATCAACTTGGGGAGGCAAGGGTTTATTTGTCTTACACTTCCATATCACCATTCATCACCACAGAAAGTCAGGGCAGGACCTAAAATGGCAGGAACCTGGAGGCAGGAGCTGATGCAGAGGCCATGGAAGGGTACTGCTTACTGGTTCTTTACATTCCTCTTTCAGAATCTTTCTTATAGAAGCCAGGACCAACAGCCCAGGGGTAGCCACACCCACAGTTGCTGGGTCCTCTGCATTGAACATCAATGGGAAAATGCCTTACAATTGGATCTTATAGAGGCATTTTGTTGATTAAGATTCCTTTTCTGATGACCCTAGTTTGTGTCAACTTAGCATAATACAGCTAGGACAGATGGATACTACTCTGCCGTGATGTAATAGCTCCGTCTTGATGGGGGCCTTTGACTAAATTTGCAGTATGAAGAAATGAGATTCCCCTTTGTATGCTGTGAATATGATTGGGTAATAAAGAAAACTGGCTTGCCCTGTTAGGGCAAAAGAGTAGAGGTAGGCAGGGAAAACTAAACTGAATTCTTGGAGAAAGAAGGGCGAAGTCAGAGAGAATCCATGAAGCTCCACCAGAGATGGACGCCAGAACTTTAGCTGGTAAGCCACAGTCACATGGTGATACACAGATTAACAGAAATGGGTTAGTTTCAGATATGAGTTAACTCAGTGGTATAGAATTAGGTAAGAGGCTCTCCCAAGGAACATTGCAGAGACAAAGATGTTGGGACCCTGCCTTGTACAGCAGTATCTGTAGAAACTGCCTCTTGGGATACTTGCCCACTCCTTCTCTGTTAGTCTTTAAGATCCTTTGAAGCCCTAGAGATTATAGACTATCATATAGTAGCTGCTGCATCTACACATTCCCAGATATCTATTTTCCTGGGTGTCTATAATTTATATTCATAACTTTTTTATTAAGTCTTTTTCCGTAACAGGATAGTACTCATCATCAATATTGATGTTTTTAAATATCTTTAAAAAGTGATGCACAATATAAAAAAAGGTCCAGTGTGGCTCTTGGTGTAGACTTGGTGTGCCCCTAGCTCTTTCTGTTGCCCCATTCAGTGTTCCTTCTATCCCTTCTATCCTATTTGCATTCTTTTCTGATTATGTTGACCCACAGACTCTTTCTATCACACTAGGCTAGTACTCAGGTAGAGATCTTCATCCTCCTTTTTGTCCTCCATTCTGGTCTCTCTAGACTTACACTCAGTCCTACTGCAGCCTGTCTACATGAGTCACCACACACACACACACTGTATGTGTCCATCTTCTCGGGACTTGGGTTTTTGTCAATGACTCAGAGAAGGCAGCTCTTTCCTGCCACCCTAGAGTATTTCCTTCCAGCCAAGCTCTTCTATTCCTCTGTGAGTATTTGCTGACTTTCAGAATAGCTCTTTACCAGGGACCTCACAATTCTCACAATGGTCTGGAACTTAGGGACAACACAGCTGCCACTCATAGCCAGGGGCAGAGTGGGACACAGAAACCAAAAAAGAACACCCACCAACAAAGCCAAGACCAGATATGTATAGCAGGAAACACTTCAAATATCATAACTCCAGATTCTTAGATCCAAGTGCAGAAAATAGAAACATGGTCAACCAAGACAGAATGCCACCTCCAGAATGCCCTATTAAAACACTGAAAACTGTTCTACTACAAGATCCAACTAGAGAACTCTTGGCTATAGATCCAAAGGACTCTACGTATTACTACAGAGGTATTTTGTCATCTATATTCATTGTTGCTCTGTTCATTAGAGCCAGAAATTGGGAACAACTTTGATGTCCATCAACTGACAAATGGATACTGAAAATGTGGCACATTTACAGGATGGGACACTATTCATCTGTTTAGAAAAAATGAATTATGGAATTTTCAAGAAAATCAACGCATCTACAAGAACTTATTCTGAGTGTGGCCCCCAAAAGACTGTTTTATCTTATATGTGATGCTGGTTTTTTAAACTTTAGACACATGTGCTTCAATCTGAATAACCATAGAGGTTAGGCAGCTAAAAAGGGACCAGGTAGGACAAGAGGATCTTCCAAGGAAGGAGAAATAAGAGTATAATGCTAAAAAGAGATAAATGGAAAACTAGAATTGGTTTAAGTGGAAGGGAGTGAATGGGCAAGGTAGAGGAGGAATAAAAGGGGCAATTATACTAAAGGCCATTTGAACACCTAATTGGAAATCTACTATTGTATAAGCATCCTAAAATATGTATATATGAAAGAAATAATAATGGGAACAATAATGGAGTCACCATATAATAGAGGAATTAATTCTCTGACATCTCATGTCACCAAGTAAATCTTGAATGGCAGGAATGGATTATATTATGTTGATTCAATGGCCAAAGGAGTTCCTATAGATCTCTCCAAACATCATAGATTATTGCCAATACTATTGATTGTCACCATAATCTGATAGTAGAACTCTATTACTGAAGACCCCAGCTACTTATGTCATTGAGCACAGAGAAATCAAGCAGGGATGCAATTAGAGGCTTCATCCCTATTGCTTGCATTCATGATGCTGGGAGATTCTTTGTTCCTCCTACAGGAGAAGAGCATTTAGTATCACCTAGTTATAAACTCTGTGACCTCCATCAGTAATACGCTTGTAAGATATTCTGGTACAAATGTCATGGGAGCCACCTTACCAACTATTTTTTTTAATTGGGATTAAAGTCCCCTACATGGAATGAAGCCTATATCTGGCCCTATTAAGTGGCAAGGGAACCTGAGTGTAGATGGAGCTGCAGGCCTGCTTTCCTGCCACCTGGCTCCCAGCTGCCTGGCTAGCTTATGCCCCGAAATAATTACACAGAAACTGTATTCTTTTAAACACTGCCTGGCCCATTAGCTCTAGCCTCTTACTGACTAACTCTCACATCTTGATTAACTCATTTCTATTAATGTGTGTAGCACCATGAGGTGGTGGCTTACCGGGAAGGATTCTAGCCTATATCCGTCTCAAGTCGGAGAATCATGGCGACTGCCTCATTGTCTTCTTTCTCCCAGTATTCTGTTCGGTCTACTCTGCCTATCTAAATTCTGCCCTATCAAAAGGTCAAGGCAGTTTCTTTATTAACCAATGAAAGTAACACATAGACTGAAGACCCTCCTACATCACCTGAGACTAGATAGGTGCTGAGTCAGAGGAAAGCCTGCTACTATGTTTTGGCTAAAGAAACAATGCATAAGTAATTCCTAATGATATATTGCTATATCTACAGACTAGAATCTTGTTCAGTTCTCAGCAGAGAACCTTCTTCTTGTAGAAGATGGTAATTTGTATGAGAGATTCACAACTGGACCATGTGTAGAGACCGGGAAACTTGTAGCACACAGCCCTACACGGAGTGTCTTCATAAAACCCCTCCCATTGAGGATCAGAGATCTGTGCATGATGGGAAACCTCCATCAGTCAAAGGCCTTTGAGAGGCTGGACAAGGTTAGGTGTGTCCTTGGGTACCAAAAACATGCATGACAGCCCATGTGCTCTCCTCTCTCTCTCTCTCTCTCTCTCTCTCTCTCTCTCTCTCCTGCTCTTGCATTTGGATGTTGGAATCCATTCTTGTCCCCTCTTTGTGAACTGTGAGTTCCCCTTTAAATAAAGACCCTCTTATTATACACTATTCTGAGCTAGTGTTAGATTATGTCATTTGGCACATTTTTCTTCATCTGGCTGCCCAACATGGCAATGAGTCCATGATCACAAATCCAGGCACACGTTCTGCCCCTGCCTCCAGCGGGCACCCAAACAACCTTGCCCACAGCACGCTACTGCAACCTCTCCAGCCACCCAGTTTTTTTCACATTGTGATCCCTGCTGTGTTACATCCACCGGCTGCACATACTGTGGCTCGTGACTGACAAAAGGCTTTGTTTCTGTCACGTGGCTGCAGTTGTGACACTTGCTGACCTATAAAGATCATTACACACATATCAACTCACTAAAATTTTCTAAAGGGAGTAAATAAATTAATAAATTTAAAAGTTATATAATAGCAGACAAAATTACCACTCAAAAAATTAATAACCATTTTGACTACACTATGGATGGTATTCTGCAAGGCTTATGCAATTTTCTTATATATACATTTATTTGATTTTAAAAATTAATTTTTTCATATTATGTCCTTAAAAATGGTTTGATAACAGAGCCAAAAATGAGACATTTTTAAAAATGATACAGTCTTTACAGACAATAATAAAGAGCTAGCTAAAAAATTAATACCATTAAAAATTAACATTAAATCGACAGACAAAATTCAATCTATGTCAAAGGGTGCTAAAATTATTTAAATAATTCATACTATTAAATTTAACAATCAAAATATACATTTTTACCTCTGATCAAGATACTTATACATTGTTTACATTTTGAGGCCATTGTTCTCATTTGCTGAACAGTTGTTTAGAGATTGTTTAATATTCTAATGTGAAGTCTTAGTCTTAAAGCTACATAGGTATTAAACATTATAGGTTAATAGTTATCCATGTTTGTCA